TTCTCTGACCACAATAACATTAAATTAGATAACAACAGAATGATCTCTGGAAAGTTCTCCAAAATTCAGAAACTAGTAACAAATTTCTAAGTAACCCATGTGTCAAAGGAAAAATTAGAAAATGTTTTGAATAAAAATGAAAAGACAAATTTGTGGGATGCTGCTAAAGAGGGAAAAGTACAGCACTAAATGCCTACGTTAGAAAATAAGGTCTCAACGAACTCAGCTTCTGTATTAAGAAACTTAAAAATAAAGAGCAAATAACATTCCAAATAAGCAGATGAAATAAAGATCAGAGTGGAATTCAGTGAAATAGGAAACTACACCCTGCCAAAAAAAAAGGAAAATAAAACCAAAACTTCTTATTTGAGAAGATCAGTAAAACTGGTAAACTTCTAGCTAGACTAATCAAGAAAAAAATGAGAGAAGACACAAAGTAATATCAGGAGTAAGAGGGTTAATATCAGTAGATTCTACAGATACTAAAATAATATTAAAAACAAGTTTATGCCAAAAAATTAAGCAACATGGATAAGACAGATTCTTCGACAAATTCAAGTTACCAAAGTTTACTCAAGAAAAAAAATAACCTGAATAGTCCTATGCCTATTAAATCACATTTGTAGTTTAAAAAAAAAAAAAAAAAAAAAAAAAAACCTTCCCACAAAGAAAACTCCTGTCCCACCCAGATGGCTTCACTGGTAAATTCTACCAGTCATTGAAGAAAGATAAAATGCCAATCCTTGAAAAATTTTTCCAGAGACTGAGAATAAAGAAACCTCACAACAATGAGGCCAGCAGTATCCTGATACCAAAACCACACAATTACAAGGAAAAGAAAAGACAATACTTCAGACCAATAGCCCTTCTGAACGTAAATGAGAAAACTGTTACCATAATACTTAAGGATAATATGTCAAGACTAAGAGGGATTACAGAACTGCAAGTTTGGCTTAATACTCAAAAATCAATGTATGTCACCATATTAACAGAGTATAAAGAAAAACAATAGGATCATCTCAATAAATACAGAAAAAGTGTTAGACAAAACCCATTATCCATTGTTGATATCCATCCACCTACCAAGAACAAAAAGGAAGTAATTCTGCCTGACACAAAGCCTATACTTATCTTTATACTTAATGGTGAAAGAATGAATGCTTTCCCCTTGAGATGGGGAACAAGGCAGTGACACCTGCTTTTGCCACTTGTTTCACATTGTAGTGGTAGTCTAGACAAAAAAGAGAAAAACATCCTGGCTGAAAAGGAAGAAGCAAAATTGTCTATATACACAAATAACATTGATAAATCTATGTAGGAAATGCAATGGAATCTACAAAAAAAGGCACTAGAACGATATGTGAGATTAAAGGTTGCAGGATACAAGATCAAAATACAAAAATCAGTTGCACAGGTTGCATATCCCTAATCCAAAAGTCTTGACACCTGAACTACAAAGGAAATCCTTATTGCAGCATTTTAGATTTTCTGATTAAAGAGGCCCAACCATCAAAGGCAAATGCAAATGTTCCAAAATTCAAAAAAGTCCAAAATCCAAAACACTTCTGATCCCAAGCATTTTGACTAAGGGAGACTCAGCCTATATTTCTATATACTAACAACAATCAATCAGGAATTGAAACTTAAAAAATAATACCATGTGCAACAGCATCCCCAAAAATGAAATACCTGGGGATTCATTTACACAGACCTGTACACTGAAAATCATAAAACACTGCTGAGAGAAATTAGAGAAGACTTAAATTGAGAGGTATATCATGTTCATGGATCTGAAAAATTCGACATTGTTAAGATGCCAATTCTTCCCAAATTGATCAACAGATTTAAAACAATCCTCATCAAAACCTCAGGAGGGACATTTTTGTACAAATTGGCATATGATTCTAAAATTCATATGGAAATGCAGAGGACCTAGGATAACGAAAACTTTGAAAATGAACAAAGCTGGCTGGGCACGGTGGCTCACGCCTGTAATCCCAGCACTTTGGGAGGCTGAGGCGGGCGGATCACGAGGTCAAGAGATCGAGGCCAGCCTGGCCAGCATGGTGAAACCACGTCTCTACTAAAATACAAAAATCAGCTGGGCATGGTGGCACACACCTGTAGTCCCAGCTACTCGGGAGGCTGAGGCAGGAGAATCACTTGAACGTAGGAGGCAGAGGTTGCAGTGAGCCGAGATGGTGCCACTGCACTCCAGCCTGGCAACAGAGAGAGACTTTATTTCAAAAAAAAAAGAAAGAAAAGAAAAAAGGAACAAAGTTGGAGAACTTAAATCATCTGACTTCAAGATTTACAAAGCTACAGTAATCGAGATAAGCGATATTGTTTTCAAGATAGAGATTATGGAACGTAACAGAGAATCCAGAAATAAACCTCCACATTTGTAAACTGACTCAACAAAAGTGCTGAAGCAATTCAGTGAATAAAGATAGTGTTTCCAGCAAATGGTTTAGGAACATTTGGATATCCATACACACACACACACACAAAAATTACCTTGGATCTACATTTGAACCATATTTTTAAAAACAAAAATGAATCACAGATCTAAATGTACAACCTAAAACTGTGACAACTTCTAGCAGAAAACACAGGAGAAAATCTTTATGCCTTTGGATCAAAGATTTCTTAGATATGATACAGAAAAAAGTAAAACTTAATAAATTCACTTGATCAAAATTTAAAATTTCTGCTCTTCAAAATACTCTGCTAAAAAGATTGAAAACATTACCTACAGACTAGAAGAAAATATTTCTATACACCTCATATATTTTTTTTAAAAACTTGTATCCAGAAACGTAGGCAAACTTAGTAACACGATGAGTGCAGTGTCTCACGCATGTAATTCCAGCACTTTAGGAGGCCAAGGTATGCAGATTGCTTGAGCTCAGGAGTCTGAGACCAGCCTGGGCAACATAGTGAAATCCCATCTCTACAAAAAATATAAAAATTAGCCAGGCATGGTGGCATATGCTTGTACTACTTGGGAGGCTGAGGTGGGAGGATCACTTGAGCTTGGGAGGTTGAGGTTGCAGTGAGCTGTGATAGTGCCAGCCTGGGTGACAGCAAGACTCTGTCTCAAAACAAAACCCAACAATTTAAAAATGAGTCCAGATTTGAATAGACACTTGACCAGTAAGATACATGGATGGCAAATAGGCACCTTAAAGGATACACAACCTTGCTAGTCATTAGAGAAATGCACATTAAAACCACAAAGAGCTATCACTGCACACCTATTAGGATATTTAAAATTAAAAAGTCTAACCATGCCAAGTACTGGCAATGATGTGGAGCAACCAGAACTCTCATACACTTCTGCTGGGAACACGAAATGGTCAAACCACTTTGGAAAACATTTTGGCAGTTTCTTAAAGATAGAGCTATCATATGACCCATTCTTAGGTGTGAAAACCTATGTCCATACAGAAGTTTGCACATGAATGTTCATAGCAGCTTTCTTTATAATAAGAAAGACACTGGAAACAACCCAAAAGTGCATCAACAGGTGAATGGATCAGCAACTTGTAGTATATCCCTGAGGTGGACGACTACTCATCAATAAAAGAGAGTGAACTACTGATACACACAACAACATGAATGAATCTCTGATGTGCTAAGTAAAATAACCCAGACATACTATATGATTCTATTTATATGAAACTCTAGAACATGCAAACTATAATGACAGAAGGCAGATCAGTGGCTGCCTTGGCATGGGTGAGAACAGGAGGGAATGACAAAGGGGCATAAGAAAACTTGGTGATAATCTCATTATCTTAATTGTAGTCATGGTTTCTCAAGTGTATGCATATACAAAAAAATTTATCAAATTGTGCGCCTTAAATGTGCAGTTTTTATCAGTTATGCCTCAGGAAAGCTGTTTTTTTTTTAAACTAAATTTCTGAGGATTAGAGGATGCATTACATAATAGAGTTAACATTTGAAATTAATGGAACTGTTTTTCTAAAACCTTTTAATTGTTGAAACAAAAACAAATGTGCTTTTCTTCAGGCACCAGTCTTACTTTATCAGTCTTGGAATTGTCATCTAAATGTTTTAAAATTAGATTCTCCATGAAGAGAAATGTAGAAGCAAGAGATGAGAGACCGCCCTAGATTAGAATCCCAGGCCCATCACTTCTTGCTAGTTCTTAGGGACTTAAGTCTCTAAACTTCAGTTTCGTCATAATTAGAACTGGGATGGTACCGTACCCTTGTAAGTTTGTTTAGAGGCTCAGCTATAGCATAGGTAAAGGACCTAGCACAATACCTGCCATTAATAGGTGTTCAAAAAATAGTATCATCTTTATCTCGTGAGTTTTGGTCAAGTATTTACTGCACGGCAGAGTAACTGACTTTCCACCAAAGGAATGAAAATCAAGAATCCTAACCATGAAATAGGGCTGCTGGAAAGCCCCAGAGCTTTGCTCAGAATCTAACATTCTGATTTCTACTACAGAGCCTACCTCTGCCTTCACTAGAAAAATCAATGTAGCAATGAAAGAAGGTACAAGGTATAGGGGAAAATCCTTCTGTATAAACACTACTGATCAATTTGATCAGAAATGATAAGAAAAGTCTCCATTATCAGCATTTACTGGTATCTTAAGAAAATGTCCAAGGATAACAAACCAGCCTCTCTTTATGTCCTAAGAAAATGTCCAAGGATAACAAACCAGCCTCTCTTTATGGCCTCTACTGATCTTGGGGCGTATTTCCAGAAAGCTGAGAACACCACACACGATGGCACAGTTTTCACCACTTGTTTTAACCCAGGGAAGGAGAGCAGACTCAGACTCTTGATTTTACAGGCTGAAGACAGGAGGGCAAAGTACTTCCTGAGACCATGTGACAAGTCTGACCTGTGGTGGGTCCCGGGTCCACTCTGCCCAAGGCGACTTCCCCCAGACCCAAGCTCCTTGGAAAGCAGTGTTTGCGGGGAGCCCACCCCTCTGAACCCAGGACCATTTTTCTCACCTGAGTCTCGGTGGATTGTTCTAGCTCTCTTCAGTTTTCCCAGTGGTTTATACTTTGGCTCCATACTTTGGGAAGACCGGCATAAAGGCTTTAAGCTGAAATGAATCAGAATATTTGATTTTTCCTTTTGGGGAAGTTGTTAGAAGGTAGGCATCATTGATAGTGTTACAAATTTTTTTTGTTTTTATTTTTTTGTTTTTTTATTTCTTGGATCCCTGTGTTTTTAACAAAATCTTGACCATAAGGGAAATCACACAACTACTCTGGAGGATTGAAAAGCAGTTCTGAACTGATTTTAACTACTGAACTGTAGTTAAAAATCACTTCGACCTAATAAAGTGGTAAACATAAGCACTTAAATGCAACCTGGTAGATGCGTATCTTATTATTACATCAGTAGACTAAGGCAAAACTTAAGATCTAATGCAAAAAAAAGATGCAAAAAGAGCAGGTCCCTATCCTGAAAACCATTAATATAGTGGCATCCTCTGGCATTCAGGATACAGTATAACTAGCTGCTTCCCATTCCCTGTTCAGTAGGGTTTACTTATATCTCACAGGAATCTCCGCAAATTTATCTTGTCATTCTAGGTCCTTAGGCTGAAAGCTAAGGCAAAGTGGAGATAAGATACAAAAAGGCAGAAAAATAAGATTTGAAGATGTCCTACCCCTTTCGAAGGCCTCACTGCCAACTGCCGCCTCCTGGCAGATTCTGGGAAGCCTTTAGGATGATCTACAACATACCATTTGAACAGGGCCATGAAGTGCCCAACCTGAAACTTATTTACAGCCACCCCCATTTTACATCCTTGCCCCTGTTTCCACAGCTGTTCTCTGGATCCATCCCCTTCAACCTTTCCAGGAGTTCTCATCCATTACTGTGTCTCTTTACAGTCATTTCAGCCATTCTTCTGGGTTAACTTTTCAAAGTAAGGTTGTCTTCCCCCCACCTACCTACAACAGAATTGTCTGCTAGAAATGAAGGATGGGGGCTGGGCACGGTGGCTCACACCTAGAATCCCGGCACTTTGGGAGGCCGAGGTGAGTGGATCATTTGAGGTCAGGAATTCAAGACCAGTCTGGCCAACATGGTGAGACCCTATCTCTACTACAAATACAAAAATTAGCCAGGCCTGGTGGTGGGCGCCTATAATCCCAACTACTCACAAGGCTGAGGCAGGAGAATCACTTGAACCCAGGAGGCGGAGTTTGCAGTGAGCCGAGGTTGCACCACTGCACTCCAACCTGGGTGACAGAGCCAGAATCTGTCTCAAAAAAAAAAAAAAAAAAAGGCAGGATGAGGAATATGCATTTTAACAAGCACCTCGGCCGGGCGCGGTGGCTCACACGTGTAATCCCAGCACTTTGGGAGGCCAGGGCAGGCAGATCACGAGGTCAGGAGATTGAGACCATCCTGGCTAACACGGTGAAACCCTGTCTACTAAAAATACACAAAATTAGGCTGGCGTGGTGACAGGCACCTGTAGTCCCAGCTACTCGGGAGGCTGAGGCAGGAGAATGGCGTGAACCCGGGAGGCGGAGCTTGCAGTGAGCTGAGATCGCGCCACTGTACTCCAGCCTGGGCAACAGAGCGAGACTCCGTCTCAAAAAAAAACAACAACAACAAAAACAAGCACTTCAAGTGATTCCTGAACACGTCCAAGTATATATGTATTCAAGTTTAGTTCTACAGACATATTGAAGTCTCAGCTGTTTTAAGATCAAGCCTTCAGATTGTTGCCTCCTATTGCCATCTTGTCTCTAACTTTCCCTTCACTGTCAAACTTTTTATACAGTCCTCAGTATTTTCTATTTCCTCACTTTTTACCCATTTCTCAACTAAAATCTGGCTTGTAACTCACAAGTCCACTGAAATTGCTCTCACTAAGCACACACAAATGACCTAATTACCAAGGAAACAGGACACCTGGTAGTCACCATATTATTTAACTTCTCAAGACACTCCATGGGCACCCTCTGCTTACCCTTCCCCTTTGCTCTCATCCTGCTGTCTGGGCCACTCTCTCCATCTCAGCCCAGCTCCTCCTCCTCCACTTCTCCCTTAAATGTGCTGCCCAGGGTTCTGGCCTCAGCTCTGTGATCCCTCCTCCCACTCCTGGTGACTTCTTCTGTCCTCATGGTTTCAGTTCTCACCTGCACTGCCAACTCCAAATCTGTGTCTCCAACCCAGACCTCTCTCCAGAGATTGTCCATCCTCCTCTCCATCGACATCTGCAAGCCTGGTCCTGTTATGTCCTCATCGGGGTCTGCGAGGCAGATTCCCTGACAAGGGGCCTCGTTCCTTCTGCACCCATCGAGCTTGTGTGCTGCCTTTGCACCTGGCCTCTCCATGAGACTGGAGCTCTGCTAGGACAGGGGGTGTCTTAGGCAACCTGGAACCCAAGCTCCATTCCCACCATATGGCTGGCACTAAAGAAATCATTTCATGGGCCAGATGCAATGGCTCATGCCTGTAATCCCAACACTTTGAGAGGCTGAGACAGGTAGATCACTTGAGCTCGGGAGTTCAAGACCAGCCTGGTCAACATGGCAAAACCCCGTCTCTACTAAAAATACAAAAATTAGCCAGGTGTGGTGGTGTGCACCTGTAGTCCCAGCTACTCGGGAGGCTGAGGCAGGAGAATCGCTTGAACCCAGGAGGTGGAGGTTGCAGTGAGCCGAGGTCACACCACTGCACTCCAGCCTTGGTGACAGCGTGAGACCCTGTCTCCAAAAAAAATTAAATAAATAAATCATTAATGAATGCATAAATGAAACCCAAAGAAGAGGTAAGAAAATGGTAATACTATAGTAAAAGATATCCATGAATACTATTGCACCTCTCCTTTGGCTTCAGTTATCCATTCAGTAGACACTTGACGACCTACCTGGCATGGTGCTAGGTGCTTTTCTTATACTATCTCCCTATATTAGCTCTGTCTTCTTTGAGAAGCCCAACAAGTAGGCATCAATATTCCCATTTTGCTGATTCAGAATGACTACCTCGGAGAAGTGATCTGGCCAAGCTGATACTGCACTGTTAATTAATGGTGGAGCTGGGTTGCAACCCAGGAGAAGCCGACAACACTACCTATACCTTCTGCCACATTGTTGAACTAAAGGAAACACTACAGGAAGAAATGGAAATGAGTATCAGTTCAGAAATGTCGCAACAGAAACAGATTCTAGATTTGTAAACATTCAGACAAACTCTCCTTTGTGTCCTAGCCAAGAGCCACAAAGGGAGACAGACACCAAGTCCCACAACCAATGACTACTCACATTTCGACAACTTTATCCATAGTTGTGCCAACTGGAATGACATTTGGATATGCGTTCACAGGACAGACGTAGCTCAAGAAATCTTTAATCTAGAAAAAGGAAAATCACATGGATCAACGATCTCTACAATAAAACAGGTTGTTAGGGGAGATAAAGGGAAGCTGGGGAAGGAGAAGCAGAACTCTCTTATGGTTGTGGTTCTCAATGCTGGCTGCATGTGGGGATCACCAGGGACCTCTTGGGGAAAAAACTATCCAATACCCAGGCCTCACTCCCAAACATCTCCTGAACACTGAGTACTAGTGGGCCTAGAAATCAGTACATTTAACTTTCCCCAGGTCATTTTGATCCACAGTAAGAGCTGAGAATCACTAATGGGACTCAAAGATTTTTTTTTTTTTTTTAATATATTGCTTTCCTTGTCCAAGAAGGTCAGTTGCTTATGTTTAACCAATCCCCTTTCAAATGAGAATTTATCTGGACATTAAGTATAATATACACACACAAAAAACACAAGGTCTTAGAATTGCATTTCTTAGCTGGGCACAGCGGTACATGTCTGTGGTACCAGCTACTCAAGGCTGAGGCAGGAGGATTGCTTAAGCCCAGGGATTTGAGGCCAGCCTGGGCAACACAGAGAGACCCCATCTCTAAAAACGAACAACAAAAGAATCGCACTTATTTACTTCTACAAATAATCATTAACGATGCCAGGAGAATTACACCTTTGAGGTTACTTGATTTGTTCAAATGGTTCATTCTCATTGGGCAGAACACCATGCATTGGTCACTGATTCCAGGGAAGAACCAAACACTGCCCATTGTATCTTGGTGTCAGAGTCACCAAGGAAAACACAATGCAGTCAAGCACTGGATGGAGCAATGCTTCACTTACTGAGAACGGACCAAGCAAGATCAAGTCCAACAATGTGCACTGGTCCCCAGTGACCAGCATGTCTCTCCCTGCAGCCAACACAGGGCTACCTCCCTACCTGCAACCCTCTCCTGCCACACAGGAAGGAACCCCCATCATGCTATCTGAAATAAGGACAGCTGGGGTGTGCCTAAGGGCCATTGATACACAGGCTTAAGTAGAACAAAGGGACACACATCAAGTACAAAGCAGCGAAGGATGTTTCCACACAAGGCACTGAGCTGCCGCAGGCTGTGTGCTCACGCTGTTGGGAGCGCTCCTCTCTCCCTCTCCCCCTCTCTCAATAAGGAAGTGTTCCATTCTTATGTGGCCAGTGAGGGTTGAAAGACTGTGCACATAGACTGCCTGTCCCAATGATTAATTCTAAACAAATAATTACATGCAAAAACTTCATGAATACCTTGATTTTTTGCAAAGTTCAGAATGCTAAACAGAGGAACTCTGTCACTATTCCTCAAAACATCTCTACAACCTAGAGGAACTTCAGCTTTGTCTCTTATTAGACCTTGGTGAGCTTGTGATCTCAGTCAAGTTGCCTAATGGTTCTAATTTTAGATTCTTCATTTAAAAGTATAAATGAGATTATGCATGTAAAGTGCTTAGCTTGGTACCTGTTGAAAAAAATAAAATCATCCATTACTAAGTTGATAATGACAACACAAAGACTTTTATGCCCTTCTGCAAAGGGACAGACTAGAACCCAATGTAATTATTAGTATACCACCAAATTGAAAGAGGCAGGAACCCAAGAACTGCCAATAACTCCACATAAAAATAAAAGGGCTACTTTAAGACAGGGGAAAGGCAGGAAGATCGGTTCTTTAGATATTTTTCACAAACAGTATCTTTTGTACCTTCACAGTAGGCATGCAAATAGAAAGCATTACCTGCCCACCCAACACCTATTTGATTTGCACGAAGTTGAGGCTGGTAGAAATCAGAGACTTTTGAAGGAAATAAAGGATTAAAAAAAAAAAAAAAATTAAAGTCAAGCCTTTACCAGAAATGGTTCGCTACTAATTCTCAGAGATGAAGTGGCCCCAAGGAGATAAGAGACACCCAAAAAAGGAGCACCCCCTCTCACTTATACAAGTTGACTCCCTTTTATCAAATGCCTGCCTTAAAATATGGCATCAGTACAGCCAATTCTCTTTATTTGCAGTAGTTATATTCTATAAAGTCACCATAAATGCTGAATTAGCAAATACTGAACCATTGCTGCTAGGGGTTCCTGCCATCCTTTGGTGACATCGTTTTCATCAGCCAGTTAATATATAAGCTTGTTTTATGTGTGTTTCTGTTGAAAGACACCTCATTTAATAGATACTTTGATTCATTAACACTGAACTCATGGCCAATAGCCCTATAACTCATTCCTATCTAACATACATATTTTCTCTAGAAACCATGTTACAGTCTTCCCGTGCTTAGGAACACTGGATAGGACTTCAGTACTATGATTAGTCACCACTTTAAATAAGATCACCAACAAAAAGCACCAAAACATGAAAAACATGGCACTGAATAGATGGCAAAAAGGACACTTTTGATATGGTTTGGCTGTGTACCTATCCAAATCTCATCTCGAACTGTAGTTTCCATCCCCATGTGTTGTGGGACGGACCAGTGGGAGGCAATTGAATCATGGGGGCGGCTACCTCCACACTGTTCTAATGATAGTTCTCATGAGACTGGATGGTTTTATCAGGGGCTTTCCCCCACCTTCACTCTGCACTTCTTGCTGCCACCAAGTGAAGAAGGATGTGTTTACTATGATTGTAAATTTCCTGAGGCCTCCCCGGCCCTGCAGAACTGTGAGTCAATTAAACCTCTTTCCTTTATAAATTACCCAGTCTCGGGCATGTCCTTAGAGCAGCAGGAGAACAGACTGATACACTTGTTGACAGAATAAGAGCTGAAAGAAGGCAGAGCGTTTCCTTGTTCTACCTGAGCTGAGAATGTGCACATCAGGTGACTCAAATTTTTCACCACTCTCCACAAGTCCACGAATGATCACAAAAGCACTGTAAATATTGATACTGCAGTTACAGGTCAGTTTCAGTGAGTAGGCCAACACATAAAAATAGAATCCATGAGGCCAGGCACAGTGGCTTACACATGCAACCCAGCACTTTGCGAGGCCAAGGCAGGCAGGTTACCTGACATCAGGAGTTCAAAACCAGCCTGGTCAACATGATAAAACCCTGTCTCTGCTACAAATATGAAAATTTTAGCTGGGCATAGTGGTGGGCACCTGTAGTCCCAGCTACTCAGGAGGCTGAGGCAGGAGAATCACCTGAACCCAGGAGGCAGAGGTTGCAGTGAGCCAAGAACATACCACTGCACCCCAACCTGGGCAACAGAGTAAAACACTGTCTCAACCAAAAAAAAAAAAAAAAAAAAAAGACAAAAGACAAAAAAAACTCCGTGAATAATGAAGATCAAATGCATTTAGGAAAAAAAAAAACTAAAAGGAAATGAAACTTAGGTAGAAACAGAGATGCTTCTGAGAGTCAGGGGACTACTGTCAACTACCAAGGCTGCAGAACACTGAGCAATAAGGGTTATGAGTACATGGGATCCTCTTACCTCACTGTAGGAGGAGTGAAAAGAAAAACAAGCTCTGTATGAACTCTCTCCAGTCCTAAAGGGAAATGAAAACACAAAATAAAAAGATCACTGAGCAAAACTAGAACTAAGCGAAGCTGGCCCTTCTGATTTAGGCTATTCTAGCATGAAACTACCCTAATGGGCTTGCTTCAGCAGCACGTGTCCTGAAATCACCCTAAATCAGGAATTTCTTCTTGGGATAGCAGGGAACTTTTTCCAGAAGTGGAAACCTGTTGTAGACCGTGTGTGGTGGCTCACGCCTATAATCCCAGCACTTTGGGAGGCCGAGGCATGCAGATTGCCTGAGCTCAGGAGTTCGAGACCAGCCTAGCCAACATGGCGAAACTCTTGTCTCTACCGAAAATACAAAAAGTTAGCTGGGCATGGTGGTAGCACATGCCTGTAATCCCAGCTACTAGTGAGGTTGAGGCAGGAGAATCACTTGAACCGGGAGGCAGCGGCTGCAGTGAGCTGAGATCACACCACTTCACTCCAGCCTGGATGACGGAGTGAGATTCTGTCTCCAAAAAAAAAAGAGAGAGAGAGAGAAGGGAGGGAGGGAGGGAGGAAGGAACCTGTTGCAGATATTCTGAACAGCCAAAGTTAAAGAAATGTTGCTAAAATATTAAGATCATTACAGTCACTCCTTTACTCCACCAAGGGTTCTGTTCTCTATGACATCAGTTTCTTCCTCTTAGCCAAGCACTCAGATGGGAGGGAAGGAGGGAGGGAGGGGAGGGAAGAGAGAAAGGGAGGGAGGGGAGAAAGGGAGGAAGGGGAGAAAAGGAGGGAGGGGAGGAGGGGGAGGAGGGGAAGGAGGGGGAAGGACCTGTTGCAGATATTCTAAACAACCAAAGTTAAGGAAATGTTGCTAAAATATTGTTGATCGTTATGGTCACTACTCCACCAAGGGTTCTGTTCTGTATGACATCAGTTTCCTACTCTCAGCCAAGCACTCAGATGCCTTCAGTCTCCTACCATCTCACCAACCTACCCAGAGGGAACCTCAGGATACACTAGCTGATGGGTGTGTAACTGGTTTGGAAGCAGCATCCCCTCCATTTAAATAAAGTTTAAATTTAAGAAATTAATTATAATATATAATTATATTCTTGGGCTTAGGCTAGACTGCACTTAAATCAGACAATTTACTCAAAGTGTCTCTCAGAAGACCTATGACATTGCTTTCTTACCTCACAATTACATTTGTTTTTCTGCTTCTTTCTCCAAACCACATGGTGGATGGCTTAATACTGATTATGTGGAGTGGAATTCTATTTCTGGAAGTAATTCCACAGGGTAATTTGCTCCACTCAAAATACTCCTCTGCCTAAAAAAGATAAAAAGCATAGAAAAACAGTTCTACATTCTCTACAAATCTGTTGTAGGCAGTCTCAAAAACAAAAGTAGAAAAGTTTCCAGACATTAAAAAAAAAAAAGTAGACATGAAGAAACAACCAGATAATTCCAAATGGGGGAATATTCTGCAAAACAACTGGGCTGGACTCTTCAAAACCACCAATGTGAAGACAAAGAAGCAAAAGGCTGGACAAACCATCTATATCAAAGGACACCCTTTAGGCCTGACTGAACACAATGCATGACCCTCAGATAAATCCTGGATGCCCGTGTTCTCCTATTTCCACAAGCTATAAGGGACACTATGGGAAGAACTGGGACATGTGAACATGGACTGTGTAACAGCTAATAGTACCGTATCAACAGGAAATGTCCTGAGGAAGGGAATTGTATTGTCGTTATATAGGAGAACGTTCTTCTTCTCAGGAGCCACAGGCTGAAGGATTCGAGGTGAGATACCATGGGGTCTGTAACTTTACTCTCAAGTGGTTTGGAGTGGGGAGCTGGTTATACATATAGAGACAGAGGAAGAGAGGTGCAAAGTGTTGACAACCCAGTAAATCCAAACCAAGGGTGTATGGTGTTCCTTGTATCAGTCTTTTTTTTTTTTAAGACAGAGTCTCACTTTGTCCCTCAGGCTGGAGGGGGGTGGTGCCATCTCAGCTCACTAAAACCTCTGCCTCCTGGATTTAAGCAATTCTCATGTCTCATCCTCCCAAGTAGCTGAAATTATAGGCACACACCACCATATCCAGCTAAATTTTGTTTTTAGTTACAGGGTTTCACCATGTTGGCTGGGCTGGTCTCGAACTCCTGACCTCAAGAGATCTGCCCGCCTTGGCCTCCTAAACTGCTGGAATTACAGGCGAGAGACACTGGGCCCAGACCCTTGTACCAGGCTTACAACTTTACTGTTTAAAAAGTTTTCGGCTGGGCGCGGTGGCTCACGCCTGTAATCCCAGCACTTTGGGAGGCCGAGGCGGGCGGATCACAAGGTCAGGAGATCGAGACCATGGTGAAACCTCGTCTCTTCTAAAAATAGAAAAAATTAGCCGGGCGCAGTGGCGGGCGCCTGTAGTCCCAGCTACTCGGGAGGCTGAGGCAGGAGAATGGCGTGAACCCGGGAGGCGGAGCTTGCAGTGAGCCGAGATTGCGCCACTGCACTCCAGCCTGGGCGACAGAGCGAGACTCCGTCTCAAAAAAAAAAAAAAAAAAAAAAAAAAAAAAGTTTTCAGGGCTGGGTGCAGTGGCTCATGCCTATAATCCCAGCACTTTGGGAGGCTGAGGCAGGTAGATCACTTGAGGTCAGGAGTTTGAGAACAGCCTGACCAACATGGTGAAACCCCATCTCTACTAAAAATACAAAATTAACCAGGCATGGTGGCACATGCCTGTAATCCCAGCTACTTGGGAGGCTGAGGCGGGAGCATCACTTGAACCTGGGAGGTGGAGGTTGCAGTGAGCCCACATTGCGTCACTGCACTCCGTTGCACTCTTGCGCCTGGCAACAGAGTGAAACTCCATCTCAAAAAAAAAAAAAAAAAAAAATTGTAATAATAAAAAGATTCCAGCCTGGGCAATATAGTGGGATTCTGTCTCTACAAAAAAATTTAAAAATTAGCCAGGTGGGTGGTACACGCCCGCAGTCCCAGCTATTCAGGAGGCTGAGGCAGGAAGACCACTTGAGCCTGGGGGTTCGAGGCTACAGTGAGCCATGATTGCACAACTGCACTGCAGCCTGGGTGACGGAGCAACTCTGTCTAAAATAAATTCATTAATTCAAATGAAAAAGTTTTCAAAATAAATTTGGAGGGAAAAAACTAACAAATTCAAGTGCTTTCAAAAGGTTGAAAAATAATGGGACAACTTTTCCAAAGGCATTATTTTTAAATCCAGAACCTTCCAAACCATTAACATTCCATCTCACTCAAATTTCTTTGGGGTGCCTTTGGTACTGTTTCTTAGGAAGCTGCACATGAGAGTTAAGACTGGACTCTACGAGCTCTGGACTTACCTGTTAGTATTCTTAAAGGGTATGTGACCTAAAACAATCTTTTAAGCAGATAGAAATAGCATCTTAAAGAAAGCAGCCCTGACAGCAAAGGAATTACAAATTAAGCTACTTTCTGGGATATGAGAAAATTCAGAGCAAAAAGAAATTTGCCAATTAAAAGATTTATGGGGCAAGGGGCCCAATACTATGAGTCCAACAGTAAAAGGGACAAAAAAGTTTATGTTTTATTTATTTACTTGAGACGGGGTTTCACTCTGTCACCTAGGCTGAGGTATAGTGGCACAATCTTGGCTCACTGCAACCTCTACCTCCCAGACTCAAGCAATTCTCCCACCTCAGCTTCCTAAGTATCTGGGATACAGGCATGCACCACCAACTCAGCTTTTTTTTTTTTTTTTTTTGTATTTTTTGTAGAGACGGGGTTTCACCACATTGCTCAGGCTGGTCTCGAACTCCTAGACTCAAGTGATCTGCCTGCCTTGGCCTCCCAAAGTGCTGGGATTACAGGTGTGAGCCACTATGCTCTGCCTAAGTTTATGGGGTTTTTTTTTTTTTTTTTGGTTTGCTTTTTTGAGGCAGTCTTGCTCTGTCACCCAGGCTGGAGGGCAGTGGTGCCATCTTGGCTCACTGCAACCTCCAACTCCCAAGTTCAAGTAATTCTCATGCCTCAGCCTCCCTAGTAGCTAGGGCTACAGGCACGCGCCACCATGCCCGGCTAATATTTGTATTTTTAGTAGAGACGGGGTTTTGCCATGCTGGCCAGGCTGGTTTCCAACTCCTGACCTCAAGTGATCCACACGTCTCAGCCTCTCAAAGTGCTAGGATTACAGGCATGAGCTGAGCCACTGCACCCGGCCAGTTTGTTTTATATATGCATTTTTATCCATCTAAGAATCCACGGGACATGTGTGTATATGTGAATATTTATGTGTATTTATATGAGCATACGCACACAAAATGAAGAAATAAATCACTGAATGCAACACAGAATATGCAGCTTATCAATCAGTAAAAATAATTTACACTGCAGCTTTCACAGTGGCCTAAAGGAAAACATTCCAGGCTGTGGATCAGAATTCTTTCGTTTGAAATTATGCTTTATCATAAGGGCTAAGCAACTTTAGGCTTTTGGCTGATGGAACCATTAGTACTACCACAGTAGTGATCCAAATGAATAAATGCAATGTTTACTTAAAAAATTACATAGGATTTAATGCTAAGGTATTTTAAAATTTAGAGAAAAATAATGATCACTCAAACCACTACATTTAAAGATCGCTAATTAGCCTTAATAACTGTAATTGAAACAACATTTTTTAAAGCAAATTCAAAATGAAAGTCTTGTACTCAGCATTTGACAAGAGAAGGATGTTTTGTGTTGGCATTAGAAAACAATGAGGCCAGGCGTGGTGACTTATGCCTGTAATCCCGCACTTTGGGAGGCTAAGGTGGGTAGTCACGAGGTTAGGAGTTTGAGACCAGCCTGGCCAACATGGTGAAACTCCGTCTCTACTAAAAATACAAAAATTAGCTGGGTGTGGTGGCGGGAGCCTCTAATCTCAGCTACTCGGGACTCGGGAGGCTGAGGCAAGAGAATTGCTTGAATCTGGGAGGCGGAGGTTGCAGTGAGCCGAGATGGCGCCACTGCACTCCACCCTGGGTGACAGAGTGAGACTCTTATCTCAAAAAAAAAAAAGAAAAAACAAAAAAGACAACAAATGACATGTGACTTGCAAAGACACTGGAAACATCCATTTGAAATAGGACCATCAAGACATGAAATTATTTTAAAGTGTGAAAAAAGTTATGTCTAGATATTTATCTGAAACAAGTAGAAGAAAAAATTTATAAACATGCTTATGTCATGAGTCTCAAAAATAAGCAGCACAGGATGGGCGCAGTGGCTCACGCCTGTAATCCCCACACTCTAGAAGGCCAAGGAGAGCAGATCACTTGAGATCAGGAGTTCAAGACCAGCCTGGCCAACATGGCAAAACCCCGTCTCTACTAAAAATACAAAAATTAGCCAAGCTTAGTGGTGCATGCCTGTAATCCCAGCTACATAGGAGGCTGAGGCAGGAGAATCACTTGAACCTAGGAGGCGGAGGCGGAGGCTGCAGTGAGCCAAGAGTGAGCCACTGCACTCTAGTCTGGGCAACAGAGTGAGAATGTCTCAAAATATATAAATACATACATAAATAGCACAAATGTTTAAGTTATAAGCTATAACATATTACTGGTTTCATTACAAATAAATTTGAATTATCAAATGTGTATGAATAGATTCCATTAGAAAACTATAAAGATCCCAGCACTTTGGGAAGCCGAGGCGGGCGAATCACGAGGTCAGGAGATCGAGACCATCCTGGCTAACACGGTGAAACCCCGTCTCTACTAAAAATAACAAAAAATTAGCTGGGCGTGGTGGCGGGCGCCTGTAGTTCCAGCTACTCAGGAAGCTGAGGCAGGAGGATGGTGTGAACTCGGGAGGCAGAGTGTGCAGTGAACCGAGATCACGCCACTGCACTCCAGCCTGGGCGACAGAGGGAGACTCCGTCTCAAAAAAAAAAAGAAAACTATAAAGATCTGTGTCTCTTTACTAATGATGATGACAAGTATGGTCATGGAATATGGTAATGTACAGTTACATGACCTTGAGCTAACAACTTAGGATTGCAGCCTCAGGTTTTACATTTGTAAAGCGAAGAGCCTATAAATGGAAGTCCTGACCTTCCTTCTTTCTCACATATTAGGCAAACAATACGAGAGGAACCACTTATACACGTACCTTGGGATGCCGGCATGCATGGATCTGAGTGTTGCGGTCCGTTGTGAGGTGATGAAGGATGTCAGGCATGTTCCTAAACATGTCTAGCTTATTCATGTGAACCTAAGGCAAATAATATGTACGTGCAAATTATTTGAAATATATTTCCTATACATTGTTCAAGGTTAATCATTCAGGGCAAAACACCCAGTTAGTGAATTAACCCTCTCTTCTTTCTTGAAAAGCAGTTTTTGGCTATTTCAGTACACTCTGGTATTCTGCCAGGATGTCAACAGGCACAAGGCCAACTGGCCACGATCACTGCCATCACTGATGGCAATGAAAAATTATGGAGACTCTGCTCAGGGATGTCATTTAATGATGTTAATACTGTCCTTCGGTCCTTCAAGAGAAATTCAATTAATATTTCTTGTACACCTACTGTGTGTCGAGCTTTATTCTAAATACTGGAAATAAAGCAGTAATCCACACAGACAAAAACAATCAAGAATCATCTACCCTTGGCCAGGCGCCATGGCTCATGCCTGTATTCCCAGCACTTTGGGAGGCGGAGGTCGGTGGATCACTTGAGGTCAGTTGTTCAAGACCAGCCTGGCCAACATGGTGAAGCCCCATCTCTATTAAAAACACAAAAATTAGCCAGGTGTGGTGGCACAGGCCTGTAATCCGAGCTACTCGGGAGGCTGAGGCAAGAGAATCACTTGAAGGAGGTGGAGGTTGCAGTGAACCGAGACCCTGCCACTGCACTCCAGCCTGGGCAACAGAGCAAGACAGTCTCAAAAAAAAAAAAAAATCAAGGATCATCTATCCTTAAAGGCATATACATGACATGCAACAGATGAGCATGTACTGCAAACAATCCACTCCCGTATCTCCTCGTTCAAATTTATTTCTTTTTTTTGAGATGGAGTCTTGCTCTGTCGCCCAGGCTGGAGTGCAGTGGCGTGATCTCGGCTTCCATCTGTCACTGTTGGGGGCAAGGAGGAGGAGGAAAGGTGAGCTGGGAGGATGGAAGGGAGCAACAGAAAAGAATGAACAGGCTGGGAGCAGTGGCTCATGCCTATAATCCCAGCACTTTGGGAGGCCGAAGCAGGCGGATCACTTGAGGTCAAGAGTTCAAGACCAGCCTGGCCAACATGGCAAAACCCCATCTCTATTAAAAATACAAAAATTAGCCAGGCTTGGTGGCTCATGTCTATAATCCCAGCTACTCAGGAGGCTGAGCCAGTAGAATCGCTTGAACCCAGGAGGTGCAGGTTGCAGTGAGCTGAGATCACGTCACTGCACTCTAGCCTAGGTGACATAGCAAGATTCCCTCTCAAAAAAAAAAAAAAGAATGAACAGTCACCATACCTGGACTCCTAATTCTTCACTAAGGTTGGTGAACAAATATTCATAGCCATAAGCCGCTTTGCAGTTCAACCACACAACATGGTACGGGCTCCGAGTGATCCAGCTTCGAACCAGCTCTAAGATTCCACTTAAACACTCCTCCTAGACAGCATTTTAAAGAGACATTTAACAGGGGGAGAGCCTCACAGAGCCTTTTCCTTCCCGACATTCCCAGGTACTCATGCCTACGGGGACAGTTAGGATCTGACCTGTCACCCTACAAACTGCCTACTAAAAACACTAGTACACCCAGATGACAACCGTGTTCCTCCAGGCAGACTTACCCGACTTGGAATTTGGTAAAATCTCGGATCGCAGAAAGTAGTATCTAAATATACACTTTGGATGTCTTTGACTCTGAAAAGAAGAAAAAATATTGATGTTAGCCATCCAATATGATATAAATTATGTGTAACTTTTTTTGTGTTTTGAGACGGAGTCTCGCTCTGTTGCCCAGGCTGAAAGTGCAGTGGCACCAGGTCTGCTCACTGCCACCTCCTCCACCTCCTGGGTTCAAGCAATTCTCCCACCTCAGCCTCCCAAGTATCTGGGATCACGGGTGTGCGCCACCACACCTGGCTAATGTTTATATTTTTTAGTAGAGATGGGGTTTCACCATGTTGACCAGACTGGTCTTGAACTTCTGGTCTCAAGTGATCCACCCACCTCAGCCTCCCAAAGTGCTGGGATTACAGGCATGAGCCACTGCACCCGGCCAGAACAAAACTTTATTCAGTCACACACACAAGAACTGTACAAGGGGCCAGGCACAGTGGCTCATGCCTGTAATCCCAGCACTTTGGGAGGCCAAGGTGGGCAGATCACCTGAGGTCAGGAGTTCAAGACCAGCCTGGCCAACATGCAAAACTCCATCTCTATTAAAAATACAAAATTAGCTGGGCATGGTGGTGCACACCTGTTATCTCAGCTACTTGGGAGGCTGAGACAGGAGAATCACTCGAACTCTGGAGGCAGAGGCTGCAGTGAGCCAGGACTGCACTACTACCCTCCAGCCTGGGCGACAGAGCAAGACTCTGTCTCACCAAAAAAAAAAAAAAAAAAAAAAAAAAAAAGGCCTATACAAGGCCCAGTACCTGCCCCCCGAGTGCAGAAGCTCCATTCTAGCAACTTCTCCTTGTGCCAATCTGAAGTCTCCCGTGTACAAGACAGTTCCATTATTGCCCTGAAATAAAAACCTGAAAAAGAAATATATCCCAGTGACTTCTGAGTCTCATGTAAAATCCCAATAAAGCAAATACATGTGAGATGCATAGTAAATGCTTCCTGCAAACATATCCATTATAATACAATGGTAATGGAATCTCATGGTAATTAGAACCACACCAGGCACTTAGCTGTTACCTCTTCCCTTGGGTAGAAATAACAGAGTGGAGATGCTACCCAGTTTGTAATAGATGCTCCCTGTGATATGTTAGCACTTTCAATTATAAGTTGAGCTCATTCTTGCTCATGGAGAAATACACGTGATGATAAAATACAAGGTCACTGGGGAAACAGCTGCTGAAGACTTCCATTTATTTATTTTTCTTTTTATTTTTATTTTGAGACAAGAGTCTTGCTGTGACCCCAGGCTGGAGTGCAGTGGTGCAATCTTGGCTCACTGCAACCTCCGCCTCCTGGGATCAAGCAATTCTCTGCCTCAGCCTCCCCAGTAGCTGGGACTACAGGGGTGTGCCACCACACCTGGCTAATGTTTATAGTTTTTGTAGAGGCAGGGTTTGACCTGCCACAGCCTCCCAAAGTGCTGGGATTACAGGTGTGAGCCACCACACCTGGCCATGAAGACTTCCATTTTATAAGAAATGTTTCAAATCTGATCTCACCTCTGTCCCCCTAGTTCAATCTGGGAACAAATGTGTTTTAAATGGCTAGAAAAATAATCAAATCTCCCTATATGTGTTATTTCTTTCTTTCTTTTTTGTTTCTTTGTTTTTTTTAAAAAAAAAAAAAGACAGGCTCTCACTCTGCCACCCAGGCTGCAGTACACTGAAGCGATCGTGGCTCACTGCAGCCTCCAATCCCAAACTCAAGCAATCCTCCCGCCTCAGCCTCCCAAAGCACTGGGATTACAGACATGTGCCAATGCACCCAGCCCCCTATTAATTTTAGACCCTGAAAATGTATTTCTACAAATATAATATGTATCTACATATAATAAAATGACAAAATAAATGAGCCCCCTTACATAACTGATCCCGGGCAGTGACCAGCTGGTAAGAGAGTCACGACAATCTCTTCCTTCTAAAAAGAAAATAAAGAAAAAATAGTAATGGAAAGCAGTTATCATTAGGACCTAGCTCAACAAAGCTCTCCTTCGTAGAACACACTTATGTACCTTTTAACAACGTGTCTTTTCTCCCAATTTCCTCACTCTCCAAATCCCAGAAACAAGTGGAATCCTTGTCCACTCAACAAACAGAGTTGCCATGGGACTGAGCAATTTCACCACTAGTTATAGAAGCAACATAAGTGAAAACTGATGGCCACACAAAAATGTGTGCCTGGCTGTTCTTCATACTAGTCAAAAGGTGGAACCAGTTCAAATGTCTATCAACTGATGAATGAATCAGGAAAATGTGGTCTAGTCATACAATGAAATATTATTTGGCCATAGAAAGAACTGACACATGCTACAACATGGATGACCCTTGAAAACATCGTTGGTGAAAGAAGTCAGATATGAAATGAACACATGTTGTATGATTCCACTCATATGAAATATTCAGATTAGGTGAACCCATGGAGACGGAGAGTTGAATACAGTAGTGGTTGCCAGGGGGTTGGGGAAGGAGAATAGGGAGGGATTGCAATCGGTACAGGCTTTCTCCCTTGGGGTGCTGAAAATATTCTGAAATTGACTGTGGTGATGGATACACAATTCTGTGACTTTGACTTCTATCTGAATAAAGCTATTTAATTTTTTTTTTTTTTTTTTTTTTTTGAGATGGAGTCTCACTCTGTCGCCCAGGCTGGAGTGCAATGGTGTGATCCTGGCTCACTGCAACCTCTGCCTCCTGGGTTCAAGCAATTCTCCTGCCTCAGCCTCCCCAGTGGCTGGGATTACAGGCGCCTGCCATCACGCCTGGCTAATTTTTTGTATTTTTAGTAGAGATGGGGTTTCACCATATTCGTCAGGCTAGTCTTGAACTCTTGACCTCAAGTGATATGTCTGCCTTGGCCTCCCAAAGTGCTGGGATTACAGGTGAGAGCCACCACACCTGGCCACTATTGAACAATTTTTAAAGCCTGAGGCAGGTGCAGTGGCTCACGCCTGTAATTCCAACACTTTGGGAGGCCGAGGTGAGCAAATCCCTTGAGGTCAGGAGTTCGAGACCAGTCTGGCCAACATGGTGAAACCCTGTGTCTACTAAAAATACAAAAATTAGCTGGGCGTGGTGGTGGGCACCTGTAATCCCAGCTACTCAGGAGGCTGAGGCAAGAGAAATCGCTTGAACCCAGGAGGTGGAGGTTACAGTGAGCCAAGATGGCCCTACTGCACTCCAGCCTGGGCGACAGAGTGAGGCTCAGTCTCAAAAAACAAAAACAAAAACAAAACTTTAAAAGCCTGGACGAGGCCTGGTCCTGATTCACACTGCACGTCATACTGTTTGGCAAGGGCAAGACCTGTGGGCACTACTGCCTCTCCAGCCATCAGTAAGTGGGGAGAGCTCTGCACACACTGGGTCACTGCTCGGTGACAGTGACTCCTCACGGAAGTCTCCATTCATTCTCGAGGACCCTTTCAAATGGGTCTCCCCCTGGTTGGAGCTGGATAAACAATGCACAAAAGTCATGGCACACACAAAGAAATATAAAAAATCAAAGTGGGGGCAAGACTGCTCAAAAGTCTGCCTGCTGTCGGCCCCCAGCTTCAGGAATGCCTTTCACCAATATCCCTGATTGTGACAAGGCCACAAACCAATCACAGTATTCCTCGGAAAAGCAGTTTGCGGAGTCCAGGATGGTATTTACAAAGGTTCACCTATCCTTTATTTCTTGTTTTTTCCTTTTTAATCCTCCCTAAAGTGGCTCTGTGGTCCTCCCTCAGGATAATTTGATGGGAGGAATACCTCAACTTCAACTGTCTGATCTTCTCCAAAGAAGTACCTGAAAAAGTCAGTTTCTGTTCAGATCACATTCAAACAACACAAGACACCCTCAAAGTTAAACATGGCAAAACAGTGTGCTATAATCAAGCTACAAAACCAATATTAACCAAAATAGGAAAATACCTACCAGATGTAAGGTTAAAAAAAAAGGGGTGGGGGGGTATGTCTATAGTCCTACTTATTAAAACCATACATTCACAAAAGTACTACTTCAAAATTTAATAATGAAAAATAAATTTTTCCCACTTGGCAGTGCCCCTTTTCTGAATAAGGAATCAGAAAATAAGTACAATATACATGAATTTGCTGCAAAAATATTAATCACCATTTTAAATTCTGAACATTATAAAACTCAGTAAATGTGACAATAACATCATGTAGTAATATCCACACCAGGGTTCCCATCATTAGCATGTAATAAGGAACAAATGTGACAAAAAATAAGCCATGCCCAATCCTTTACAACATGGGAAATAAATACATCACTGTTAAGGACTGAATGTTCATGTCCCTCCCCAAAAGTCCTATGTTGAAATCCTAACCCCCAAAAGTGGTTTTATTAGCAGGCCTCTGGGAGGTGATTAGTTGTTGCGCATATAAGCCTTGTGAATGACATCAGTGCCCTTATAAAAGACGCCCAGGGGAGCTCGTTTGCCCCTTTACCTTGGAAGGACACAGGGAAAAGACAGCATCTAAGAACCAGGAAGTGACCAGGCACAGTGACTCACGCCTGTCATCCCCGCACTTTGGGAGGCCAATGCGGGTGGATCACTTGAGGTCAGGAGTTCAAGACGAGTCTAGCCAACATGGTGAAACCCCCTTTCTACTAAAAATATAATAATTAGCTGGGCTCTGGTCGTGGTGGCAGGCGCCTGTAATCCCAGCTACTAGAGAGGCTGACGCAGGAGAATCATTTGAACTCAGGAGGTGGAGGTTGCAGTGAGCCAAGATCACGCCACTGCATTCCAGCCTGGGTGACAGTGAGACTCCGTCTCAAAAAAAAAAAAAAAAAAAAAAAAAGAACCAGGAAATGAGCCCTCACACCAGACACGAAATCTGCTGGAGACTGGATCTTGGATTTCCAGTCTCTAGAACCTTCAGCGACAAGTGTCTATTGTATAAGCCACTCAGTCTATGGTAGTTTTGTGAGTCCAGCCCAAATGGAGTGACACAATCACAAATGGATTTTTTTGCCCCTAAAACCCCACTCAATTATTAGATTTTTATTTATGGTTAAATGAGCATTCAAAATCAAAGAGAAAGATTGAGGGCATAGCTGAGGGGGAGAGCATCTGACTACAAAATCAAAGAGAAAAATAAACAATCATTTTAGCACTATTTTTTTAATCAATATTTAATATTTAGTTACCTCTCCTGATGCTTCATCCACTAAAGATATCTGGGTAGGAGTCTCGATTTCAATAGATATCTATAAAAATAAAATAAGAGACTATGTATACACCAGTTTTTCATGGCTTTATATGCCTTTGCTATCTGAAACACAGAAACGGGGCAAAGAGAACTTTCAGACTCTCTATATAAACAATTCTGATTACACTGTAATAAACATTTTAACAGTTACAAAAAAATTATAAACCCAAAATAATACCTGTCTTGAGGCAGATTTGGCAATACGTAGTAAATGCCTTGTAAATGCATATAATCCTCTGACACAATTCTATTTCCATGAATTCATTTTTTCCTCCATCTTCCCATCCCTACCACTCCCATTCCCCTCTCCCTCTGAATTTTGAGTCTTTGTAAAAACGTGGTCATGTGTGCTAAGTTTTGTGCCTCAGAACACAGTCTGCATGAATCCATGACATGGACACTTCATACACTGTTTTTGGTGGTTGTTTCTCAGACGGAGTCTCGTTCTGTCACCCAGGCTGGAATGCAGTGGTGTGGTCTCAGCTCACTGCAACCACCGCCTCCCAGGTTCATGCGATTCTCCCGCCTCAGTCTCCCAAGTAGCTGGGATGACAGGCACCCGCTACTGCGCAAGGCTGATTTTTTGTATTTTTAGTAGAGACAGGGTTTTGCCATGTTGGCCAGGCTGGTCTCGAACTCCTGACCTTAGGATCACCTGAGGATCGAGCTCCCAACCTCAGGATCACCCGCCTCAGCTTTCCATAGTACTGGGATTACAGGTGTGAGCCACTGCACCCAGTCTCATGCACTGGTTCTAAGTGCTGCAGAATGCTCCCTGGTACATTTCCCCTGCCATCAGAACAGAGACTGCTAGCACATAAGAGGCACTCAGTAAGTATCTGATGAATAGATGAATGTGATTTTTCATCTTTTTAGTCCACTAATGTCCTAAAACTTACAGTGTCTAAGGTTTGGGTGTTAAAATATTTTTGCATTTCTGGAATAAAACATCTTATTGGATGTGCTATTTAATACTGCCAGATTCAGTTACCATCTTTATGAGGATTCTTACATTTTCATATATGAAATGGCTTTTCCCCCATTTATTCCTTTTGAGATAGGGTCTCGCTCTGTCACCCAGGCTGGGGTGCAGTGGCATGACCTCAGCTCGCTGCAACCTCTGCCTCCCAGGTTCAAGCAATTCTCCAGCTTCACCCTCCTGAGCAGCTGGGACTACAGGCACCCACCACCATGCCTGGCTAATGTTTTGTAGTAGAGATGGGGTTTCGCCATATTGGCCAGAGTGGTCTCAAACTCCTGACCTCAGGTGATCCCCCCGCCTTAGCCTCCCAAAGCACTGGGATTACAGGTGTGAGCCACTGCACCCAGCCTCTTTTCTAATATATCTATTTAATGCTATCAATTTCTCTTCAAGGACAAATTTAACTGTGTTCCACACATTCTGACTTACCACGTTTCCATTGTCCATCAGCTCCTTTATTTATTTTTGAGACAGGCTCTCGCTGTGTTAGCCAGTCTGGAGTGCAATGGCGCAATCACGGCTCACTATAGCCTCAAACTTCGGGGCTCAAGTGATTTTTCTGCCTCAGCCTTCTGAGTGGCTGGGACTACAGGCATGCGGTACTATACCAGGCTAATTTTTAAGGTTTTTTTGTTGTTGTTGACATGCGATTTTGTGGTATTGCCCAGGCTGGTTTTGAACTCCTGGACTCACACAATTGTCCCACCTTGGCCTCCTGAAGTGCTAGGACTACACACATGAGCCCTCAAGCCTAGCTATATCAGTTCTACACATTGTATGATTTTTTTTTTTTTTTTTTGAGACAGAGTCTCTGTTGCCCAGGCTGGAATACAGTGGCGCGATCTCGGCTCACTGCAAGCTCCGCCTCTCCCAGGTTCACGCCATTCTCCTGCCTCAGCCTCCAGAGTAGCTGGGACTACAGGAGCCCGTCAACGGGCTAGGCTAATTTTTTGTATTTTTAGTGGAGAAGGGGTTTCACCATGTTAGCCAGGATGGTCTCGATCTCCTGACCTCGTGATCTGCCCACCTCGGCCTCCCAAAGTGCTGGGATTACAGGCGTGAACCACCACACCTGGCCAGTTCTACATATTGTATGTTTTATTTATTGTACAATTTCCTTTTTAACCAAATGGTCAGTTATTGTACGCATTTAGTTTCCACGTGTATGGGAAGATTTTAGCTATCCCTTTGTTTCTGATCTCCAACATCATTGTATTCTTTCGTGACACAGTACATGGTTAGTTTTTGTAAATGTCATGAGCACCCCCAAAAAATACGATTTTGTTCCTTGCCTTTAAAGTTCTGTTAGTCCACATTTACAAATTTTCTGCATCTTATTTCCTGTCTCCTCCTCCTTTCAGCATCTGGGAGGGACATGTTAAGCTCTCTAGTGACAACTGTTGATTTCCTATTTCTCGCCCTGATTCTGCGGTAGCCTTGTTTGTACTATGACAATTCATCTAAGCTGGAACTATTTCCTAGAACCCCTATCTATGTTGTTGCCCACAGTAAACACTCGGAAGGCAGATGTGAACTAGCAGGCTTTTTTTAATGCTCTGAAGGGCACCAGAAATGGTAACAGCTCATGAACATTGTTGACCTTCTGGCTTAACTCAGAGACTGGGGCAGCGCCGCAGCAACACCAGCTTCTGCTGGGTGCCTGTGTGCAGCTCCTCCGAGCCCTGGGGCAGGTGCATGTGCCTCAGAGCCAAAGCGGGAGACCAGCACTATTGAGGCCGGAGGAAGTGAGAGACAGAAGTGGGTTTTGGTCTGTCCTGCCGGGCTCTAGTGGGCCATTCTGCCTTCCAGTTTGTCTCTGCTCCCCTCCGCTTCTCTTCCAGCTCTCCTTCCTGACTGCTGGCCAAGCTGACCTGTAGCAACTTCAAGCTGAATGCCAGAGATAACAGGAACAGCCTTGCTGTTGTGACTCCTCTGCAGAGGGAGGACAAATCCCCTTCCCAATCAAAGGTCAGACGTTGAGGTGGATGATACCATGCACACAAACACATGTGCACACACTATGTGTGCATACTCACATACGCATGCACATACACACACGCGAGCACACACACGGCAGAGAATGAGAAGAAAACTTCAGTCACATCACAGGACTTTTGGGGAGGGCAGCGCAGTCCCTGAGCTGGGGACAGAAATGTTTCCTGTGGCTTGAGAGAAAGTAGGAGCAATTAGCCCTGGTTTCCACTGTGGCATGGGGTGGGCCTGGACTTGCCTGGTTTGAACTTCACCTCAGTGCTGAGGCAGGCATGGCCTTTTTGTCAGCTTGCCCAAATGTGGGCAGGAGGGAGGCACAGCCTGTAAGCAGCTTAAGAGCAAACAGAGGCCTGGCACAGTGGCTCACACCTGTAATCCCAGAACTTTGGGAGGCCGAGGTGGGAGAATTACCTGAGGTCAGGAGTTCAAGACCAGTCTCGACAACATGGTGAAACCCCGTCTCTTCTAAAAAATACAAAAATTAGCCAGGCATGGTGGTTCAGGCCTGGAATCCCAGCTACTAGGGAGGCCGAGGCAGCGAGAATTGCTCGAACTCGTTAGGCGGAGTTTGCAGTGAGCTGAGATCACACCGCTGCACTCCAGCCTGGGTGACAGAGTGAGACTTCATCTCAAAAAAAAAAAAAAAAAAAAAAGAATAAACAGACTCTTCGTGACACTGGGACAAACTGCTCTGCCAACTCCCACAACGATTTAAGACCTAATCCACATAATGAACCCACATTCTGTTAACTCATTGTGGTTCTCCTCAGATCAAGCACTGGGTGATAGATTCTCGCACTTTCTACTTCAGTTGGAGGTTATTTTGTCAACTGCACATATGTTCACATGACCCACGGTTCCTTTTAACAGTAACACCCTCTTCAAACCTTATCTTTCTTTGCCTTCCAGTCTACTTTCTGGTATTAAAAACTGCCACTCTGACATTTTTGTCTCCTAATTGGTTAGTAATTTTTTCCCTTTTTCTTCCCCCCAAATTTCAAATTTCAACCCGTATTTATCCTTCTGTTTTATCTATGTCTCTTGTAGACTAATACTGATGAATTTGTCTAATTTTTTTGTTTGTTTTTGAAGATGGAGTCTCGCTCTGCCACCCAGGCTGGAGTGCAGTGGCATGATCTCGGCTCACTGCAACTTCCGCCTCCCAGGTTCAAGCGATTCTCCTGCTTCAGCATCCCAAGGAGCTGGGATTACAGGCACAGTCCCCACCACGTCCAATTTTTTGTATTTTTAGTAGACATGGGGTTTTGCCCTGTTGGCCAGGCTGGTCTCCAGCTGACCTCAGGTGATCTGCCTACCTCGGCCTCCCAAAGTGCTGGGATTACAAGCATGAGCCACTGGGTTCAGTTGGATTTGTCTAATTTTTTTAACTTAAACTGAGAATTTGTCTTTTGATCAAAGGTAGAATTAAATTCTCTCCTATATATACTAATCACTGTTACAATCAGAATTTTTCTGCCTTCTTTGCATTTTCTGTGCACTAGACTTTTTTCTCCCCTCGATTCCCCTTGACTACTTGGGCAGATGCGTTTTATTCTGCCAGACCGAAAGTTACCCATTCTATCTGTATTCTTCTAGCTGTCATCCCTTCCTTATTATAGCCTCTAATTTATGTTTATTTTTCTTGTTCTATCCCACAATTTAAATAAAAGGATTTAGCAACTATGTTAATGAACACTTTACACTCTAAAATATTAAAATGTGGCCAGGTGTGGTGGCTCACACCTGTAATTCCAACACTTTGGGAGGCCAAGGTGGGTGGATCATCTGAAGTCAGGAGTTTGAGACCACCATGACCAACATGGTGAAACCCCATCTGTACTAAAAACACAAATATTACCCGGGCATAGTGGTGGGATTTTGCAATCCCAGCTACTTGGGAGGCTAAGGCAGGAGAACTGCCTGAACCCAGGAGGCGGAGGTTGCAGTGAGCCGAGTTTGAGCCACTGCACTCCATCCAGCCTGGGCGACAGAGTGAGACTCCATCTCAAAAAAAAAAAAAAAAAAAAGAAAAAATATTAAAATGCATCTTAGCAAGAGGGTCAATGAGATTAAACAAACAAAACTAAAGACTTAGATCTCACTCTTGAGGAACAAAGAAAACATATCAACAACCACCAAATGTTGACTTCTGCCATACTGCTCAATGCCAACAGACTTAATTTTTTCTTTTTTTCTTTTTTTAAGATGGAGTCTCACACTCTATCGCCCAGGCTGCAGTGCAGTGGTGTGATCTCGGCTCAACGCAACCATTGCTTCCTGGGTTCAAGCAATTACCCTGCCTCGGCCTCCTGAGTAGCTGGGACTACAGGTGTGTGCTACCACACCTGGCCAAATTTTTTATTTTCAGTAGAGACAGGGTTTCACCATGTTGGCCAGGCTGATCATGAACTCCTGACCTCAAGTGATCCGCCCGCCAAGGCCTCCCAAAGTGCTGGGATTACAGGTGTAAGCCACCATGTCCGGCCAGAGACTCAATATTCTAATTAATGTGGGTAACTGTAGTATGTGACAAACTGAGGCAATGTTTTTGTCAATCTACCTCTAAAAATACTTCCCACTTAAAAAAAATTAAGTTATTCAAAAAATAAAACTTACAATTCGTTTCTCCCAAAATCTGTATTTCGGGCTAGTTAACAACAACTCCTTAGTCACAGGTGAACAGTATAGATAAACCTTCAAGCTGAAAGGAAAAAAGAAAAAACTTTCAGTACAATCCAATATAAGCCATCTTGGTGACTAATAAATCTATTTCATCATACATCTAATAGTTTCATTTGAGACCAGCCTGACCAACATGGTGAAACCCCATTCCTACTAAAAACACAAATATTAGCCAGGCATGGTGATGAAATCTATTTCATCATACATCTAATAGTTCAGAAATTACGCTGGCACAAAATCTGTTAGAGTCACTCCAGCATACCTATGCCCACCATTTCAGTGCCATCAAGAGCACAAGGTGGGGGTGGAAATATGGTGTCCCTGGACTACCTCCAACAGTGGTCCCTCACCATTGTTACTTGGAAATACACGCTTGTATATGATCAGGTGTGTCTGGAAAGATACTGCCACACGTTACACTACCTCTGGAAAAGGTGTGTTGGGAACAGAAACTTCTGCTTTTTACTGTATATTTATTTATTTATTTTTTGAGACGGAGTCTCGCTTTGTCACCCAGGCTGGAGTGCAACTGCAATGGCATGATCTCGGCTCACTGCAACCTCCACCTCCCAGGTTCAAGCGATTCTCCTGCCTCAGCCTCCACAACAGCTGGGATTACAGGCGCGCACCATGATGCCCGACTAATTTTTTTTTGTAGAGATGGTGTTTCACCATATTGGCCAGGCTAGTCTCGAACGCCTCACCTCGGGTGATCCACCCACCTCGGCCTCCCAACATGATGGGATTACAGGGAGAGCCACTGCGCCCAGCTTATTTTTTTTGTTGTTTTGTTTTGTAATGAACAGAAATTAATTTCGTAATAAACCTTTTTTTTTTTTTTTTTTTTTGAGACAGAGTCTTGATCTGTCACCCAGGCTGGAGTGCAGTGGCGCTCACTGCAACCTTCCGCCTCCCAGGTTCGAGCGATTCTCTTGCCTTAGCCTCCCAAGTAGCTGGGACTACACACACGCCACTGCACCCGGCTAACTTTTTGTATTTTTAATAGAAACGGGGTTTCACCGTGTTGGCCAGGCTGGTCTTGATACCCTGACCTCTACTGATCCACCCACCTCAGCCTCCCAAAGTGATGGGATTACGGGCATGAGCCACCGTGCCCAGCCCATAATAAACTTTTAAAACTTAACGCTATCATTTAGAGGTTAGGAATACAGTCGAAGGTAGATTGTATTTTCCAAAGATGGCCACACAACGATATACCCCATCCGTACATGCTCTCCTTACAAAATAGATATTAAAATTCCTCCACTGACCAGAGAGGTCTATGTTCCCTCCCCTTGAACCTGGGCAGTTTTCTGTAATTACCTTCACCATAGAATATGGTGGAAGTAATCTCACGGGTTTTGAGGTTAGCTCTCCAGGCAATATAACTTCCTCCTGGCTCTCTCGTAGGACATACACTTTTTAACCCTGAGTCTCCATTTAACACGTCTGGCTATCCTGATGGACTCACACTAAAGAGATTTTTTTAGGGGGAGGGGAGCTTACTGTCACCCAGGCTGCAATGCAAGCAATCTGCCCACCTCAGCAGCCTGAGCACCTGGGACTACAGCACATGCCACCACACCTGGCTAATTTTTCGTATTTTCTGTAGAGAAAAGGTCTCCCTATGTTGCCCAGGCTGGTTTCAAACTCCTAGGCTCAGGTCATCCTCCCACCTCGGCTTCCCAAAGTGCTGGGATTATAAGCCTAAGCCACCATGCCTGGCCTAAAGAGACTTTTAGAGATAGAGATTCCTCACACCTGTAATCCCAGCACTTTGGGAGGCCAAGGCGGACAGATTACTTGAAGTCAGGAGTTCGAGAGCAGCCTGACCAACATGGTGAAACCCCGTTTCTACTAAAAATACAAAAATTATTTGGGCTTGGTGGCACGTGCCTGTAGTCCTAGCTGCTTGGGAGGCCGAGGCAGGAGAACTGCTTGAACCTGGGAGGCAGAGATTGCGGTGAGCCAACATCATGCCACTGCACTCCAGCCTGGGCAACAAAGTGAGGCTCTGTTTCAAAAAACAAAAAAGACACGCCAAACAGTTCTAGTCCCTAGCTGTGTGAGTCTTCCTAGCCCAGGTATCAGACATGGATGAGGGAGTCTTCAGATCTTATGTGGCTGACATTATCTGAAGACTCTGCTCACTGCTGTTTGATACCTGGGCTGGGAAACCATCCCTGCTCTACCCTGTCAATCCCTGACCCACAGAAACTGAGCAGTAAGACATGATCAGTGCTGAGTCACTCCATCTTGAAGTAATTTGTTACACAGCAGCGGATGACTGATACATAGGCTCTACAATCAGACAGACCTGGCTGGAATCCTGGTCCTGCCACTTACTGGCTGTGTGACATTGGGCAACTAATTTAACCTCTCTGGTTCCTCAGTCTCCTGTAAAATAGAAATAATAGTAGTATCTATTCAAAAGGTTATCAAGAAGCTCTAATGAAAATGTCAAGTGCAAGAGGGCAGAGCCTTGCATCTGTGTGGCTCACTAATGCATTCTCCACCTCCAGTACAATGCCCGACACGTCACAGGCAACCAGAAAAAAGTATTGAGGCCAGGAGTGGTGGCTCATGCCTGTAATCCCAACACTTTGGGAGGCTGAGGCAGGCAGATCACTTGAGATCAGGAGTTCAAGACCAGCCTGGCCAACACAGTAAAACCCCTCTCTACCAAAAATACAAAAAGTAGCTGGGTGTGGTGGCGGGTGCCTTTAATCCCAGCTACTCGGGTAGCTGAGGCAAAAGAATTACTTGAATCTGCGAGGCAGAAGTTACAGTGAGCTAAGATCGTGCCACTGCACTCCAGCCTGGGCGACAAGAGCGAGACCCTGTCACAAAAGTCAATAAATAGAAATAAAATAATAAAAAATTATTGGCCAGGTGCAAAGGCTCATGCCTATAATCCCAGTGCTTTGGGATGCCAAGATGGGAGGATCACTTGAAGCCAGGAGTTTACAATCAGCCTGGGCAACATGGTAAGACCCTGTCTCTAAAAAAAAAAAAAAAAAAAAAAAAAAAATTGTTGAACTGAGAAATACACAGTCCCCAGATACAATAAGTATTCAGTAAATATTGGCTATCATTATCAAGAAGACAGACTATTGCTATCAATGAGCAGAAAAGTCTGACATCCACTGGCCCTTTTCAAATATGTATCTTGAGAATTGGGAATTTAGATATAGGCAATGGCTGCAAGAAAAGCATCTAATAGTTCAGCTTTAAGAAAAAAATCCAGTATTCTATGATCCTTTACAATGGAACAGCCATTCTCTCTCATATACTCTTACAGAAATAACACAGAATGAGTTATTTCTGTACCCAGCAGCATAGATAAATCACACAAATACAATGTTAAGTAAAGTAAAACAATTATAAAAGGGTCTATTTGGGACCAGGTGCCAGTGGCTCACATCTATAATGCCAGCCCTTTGGGAGACTGAGGCAGGAGGATCACTTGAGGCCAGGAGTTCGAGACCAGCCTGGGCGACATAGCAAAACTCCCTCTCTGGTTTTTTTTTTAAGCAGTGTATTTGGTAGGAATATATATATATATCTCTATATCTCAACTTCACAAACAGCCAAAGCTAACCCATGATGACAAAAGTCAGAATAGAGGTTACCTTTGGGAGGAGGTAGGAGGGGTCTGGGATATTGGTACTGTCCTATTTGTTAATCCGAGTGAAGCTACACAGATGCGTTCACTTTGTAAATGACTATATGCTTGGATGTATGTACTTTTCTGTACAGTTGTTCTCTCTCAATTAAAATGTTTGCTTAAAAACATACACACACACACAAATAAGTAGCAAAATAAATTACCTGCACTCCAACCTTCTTTTCAAGGTAGGGGCTCTTAATCCTTTCATGTGATCTAAAAACAAAAGAACCAACACTCATCAATATGTTCTTTTTCCAGAGGATTCCTTAGCCCAAGGGAAACAGTTGTCTTCTATTTCAGCTTCAAGAGAAAACCCACGAGGTTTGCTTTTATAAGAATTGAATCACATGGGCTATGGACTTTCTTCTGCAAGTGAAGAATCCTTTTCAGAACAGGATGGGCTGCCCATTTCTGAGCCATCCAAATCTATTTAAAAGGAGAGTGATTCCCTGCATCATAGGCCAGACTTTAAATCACTCTGGGAAGCCACAGAAGAATGAGAACTGCTTCTAGCCCTCCACTCTTTTACATCATTTCAATCCAACCATCCTTCGAGCCACGCTCTATGTAACCCCATTCACTTCCTGCCATTTAAATCAGTCTATCTAGAAATTCAAGCTCGTGTCCATGGAATCTGCTAGGAAATCACTCAGGCTCAGAATAAGTATATTGTCATCTTCTCATCCTACTGTGATGGATTCAAAGGAGAGTATTACTATCCACGAAGACTTGCTCCACAGCCCTCCACATTAACAGACACAGACAACAGAAAGGTAGCAATTAGACCATTACATTCAGCATATCATGCATTCCAGTATATTCTGAATCTTTAGCAAGTAAAGGCCTAGACAACAATGATCAAACAGCTCAAAATTGTTTAGCGAAACCAGCTGGACACGGTAGCTCACACCTGTAATCCCAGCACTTTGGGAGGCCAAGACAGGTGGATCACCTGAGGTCAGAAGTTCGAGACCAACCTGGCCAACATGGTGAAACCCCATCTCTACTAAAAATACAAAAACTAGCCATGCATAGTAGCACACACCTATAATCCCAGCTACTTGGGAGTCTGAGGCAGGAGAATCACTTGAATATGGGAGGTGGAGGTTGCAGTGAGCCAAGATCATACCACTGCACTTCAGCCTGGGCAACAGAGTGAGACTTCATCTCAAAAACAAACAGACAGGTGCGGTGGCTCACACCTGTAACCCCAGCACTTTGGGAGGCTGAGGCAGGCGGATCACCTGAGGTCATGAGTTCGAGACCAGCATGACCAATATGGAGATACCCTGTCTCTACCAAAAATACAAAATTAGCCGGGCATGGTGGTGCATGACTGTAATCCCAGCTACTTGGGAGGCTGAGATAGGAGAATCGCTTGAACCCGGAAGGCAGAGGTTGCGGTGGGCCGAGACTGCACCATTGCACTCCAGCCTGGGCAACAAGAGTGAAACTCCATCTCAAAAATAAATAAATAAATAAATAAATAACAAAAACCAACAACAAAAAAAACAATAAATTGTTTAGCTAAACCAAACCACTTCTAATTACCACCAGTCCCACCACACACACACACACACACACACACAAGCACACCCTCAATGTATATGTGGCCATCATTAGACCCAATGAAAGCAGAGCAGTCACCGCACCTCACTTGGCAGCCCTTGATTGTACCCCTGCCTCCGGGAGAGTCCACCTGTCTCCCAGTGGGTAAATTCCCTCAAGGGATACCTGGTCCAGTCTTTGAGGGCCTTATGGGTATATCTCTGGGCAGGACTCTCCATAATTGGAGTTTCCAAAGAGTTTGTGCCATGGCAAAGAGGAGGCTCAATCCAGACTCTGCTTCCTGCTCCCACACTGACTAAGCAGGCAGCACCCTGCATGGGGCATCGTAGTCCCCCATCCTCACCACCCTGAGGCCCCTTCCAACTGGTGATCAGAAGAACTGGGTGGGTTTGCTTTGTGCTGCTGCAGCTGCACCCAGGTCTGCTTTTCCAGGGAGGTTTTCCTTTTCCTGGGTCACAATAAATTACCTTAAGCTGCCACCTCAAGGGGATTTCCCCAATCCCGGGCCATTATCTCAGGTCTCAGGTCTCAGGTGTCCTCTCATCTTCCAGAACTTACTGATGCTTAGTAAAGCCCATCCTGCACACAGCATTGGCTTCCAGATGGCGCACAAATAAGCATCAGGTGGGTCCACAGCCTACTCCGAATGATATCAAAGTGTGATGTGGGGTTGGGTGTGGTAGCTCACACCTGTCATCCCAGCACTTTGGGAGGCTGAGGCGGGTGGTTCACCTCCGCCCAGGAGTTTGATACCAGCCTGGGCAACATGGGGAAACCCCATCTCTATAAAAAACACAAAAATTAGTCAAGCATGATGGTGCATGCCTGTAATCCCGGCTACTCAGGTGGGAGTACTTGCTGAGGTGAGGGGATTGCTTGAGTCCAGGAGGTGAAGGCTGCTGTGAGCCAAGATCGCACCACTGTACTCCAGCCTGGGCGACAGAGTAAAACCCTGTTTCAAAAAAAAAAAAAATGATGTGGATGGGTTTCCATGCTTTTTTTTCTAGCAAAAGAGTCCATACAGTTTCTCATGCTTGAGCTGCTATCACAAGATACCATAGATACCATAGTTGGCCTTCACACCAACCCTGTGAGGAAAGGCAGTGTTTTGGTTGCCTTAAACACCAGAAAGGTATTTCTCACAGTTCAGGAAGCTGGGAAGTCCAAGATCAAGGTGCGGGGCGATTTGGTTTCTGGGGAGGGCACTTTTCCAAACTTACAGACAGCTGCCCTCTCACTGTGCACTCACATGGCTTTCCTTGGCATGGATGCATGAGGACAGAGCGCCCTCTCTCTTCCTCCTCTTGTAAGGGCACTAATCCTATCAGAGTAGGACACCACGGTATGACCTCACTTAAACTTATTTTCCTCCTAAAAGCCCCAGCCCCAAATACAGTCACTTTGGGGATTAGGGCTTCAACACAGGAATTTTGTGGAGATAGTCCATATCAATCAAAGAAGCCCGTGTCTCAAAAAGGTTAAAAGCCAACAGAAGGCAACGTGAGAAACCTCCAAAAGTGGAAGTTGAGTTTTTGCCCTTGATGAGTTTATGTCCTGGTTGAGTAAGCAGATTCACATGTGGTTACAGAACAGAAAAAGTTGTTATAGACTGTTCAACTGTAGGGAAGAGTCCATTTCTTCCTTAATGCACAAACTTATAGTGATGATTTCACAAATTCCTTTAGATGCATTATTTCTCCAAACTCAGTAGTCCTAAACACAAAGTGCAAGTTTCTGAAGTATACTTTAATCCTGGCTAGCCCATTTTGAGTTCAGAGACTCCAGTGCGACTCTACACAAAAAGCAGAAATAGGCACATCCTCGTCCGGCAGTAGATTCTCAATGAAAAACAAAACCAGAAATGTGTCAGGCACAGTGGCTCACACCTGTAATCATAACACTTTGGGAGGCTGAGGTGGGTGGATCTACCTGAGGCCAGAAGTTCGAGACCAGCCAGGCCAACATGGTGAAACGCCATCTCTACTAAAAATACAAAAATTAGCTGGGTGTGGTGGTGGGTGCCTGTAATTCCAGCTACTTGGGAGGCTGAGGCACAAGAATCACTTGAACCCAGGAGGCAGAGGTTGCAGTGAACGGAGATGACGCCACTGCACTCCAGCCTGGCGACAGAGACTCCATCTCAAAGTAATAATAATAAAAATACAAAACTTAGCCGGACATGGTGGCTCACTCCAGTAGTCCCAGCTACTTGAGCAGAGAGCATGTGCCACTGTCCTCCAGCCTGGGCGACAAAGGGAGACCCTGTCTCAAAAAAAAAAAAAGAAGAGACGCTCGAAGAGGTGCATGATGCTAATATGGCAACTCATGAGAAAAGGTCCAGATTTTCCTCATTAAGCAGAAATCACTAGTGGCTTTGTGGGGAAAAAAAGCAGAGACATTTCCCAGAAGCAGTAACTTCAACAATTTATAGTCCAAGTGATTGATTCCACACCCAAGACAATATAGCTGGCCTTCCCACCAACCCTGTGAGGAAAGGCTGTACTTGGATACCTGTAATTTATTTTAAAACCCTTTCCCACTGCGCATGTGCAGATAGGTTTGTTACACTGATTGACTCCACAGGGTAGTTGGAGCTTCCTGCTCCAGCACTCTGCAAGGCCACACAGCAGAAGGCAGCAACTCCAGTGATTCCGTTTATCATTTTCTCCAATTAACACTAATGGCTGAGCTAATTAGCACAATGCACATTAAAATTGTTTTCACTGGTAAGTCACTTATTAGAGCAACAGAAGTGAAAATGAACAACGGTTATGAAATTAGCGGTATTTAAACTCTGGAAATTAGCTCCAATCTCTGCCTGGCGTATCTAGCCTCGAGCTTATATCATTAACAGCGACACTCTAACCTTAATCCCTAAATCGGTCCAGCTGTGAAAGGATCCAGCTGTGAAATCATAGTAGCTTTTCTGGTTGCCTGATACCATTTAGAAGGGAAACATCCCTCCATCCTAACCCAGAACGAAGCGTTCGTATTGGATGCGGACAGAACATCCAAAGGCCAGGGAGCTTGCACGTCGTGGAGCTATCAGGCGGGTTGTTTCACAGTTGTGTGTGTGTCAGCCTGCTTGCTGACCAATGTTTGAGGGTGTGCTCAAATGGATCTGAAACTTGTTTTCTTCATACACGGTAGCGAGGCTCTGGGGGAAGAACTAACCCTCGCCAATCTCTGACCATCGGCCACCAGCAGAGCTACCAAGTGAACCTACTAGCAGCACTTGACCAAGCCGGCCCGGGGCGCAACTGGCAGGCGCCGTTACGCCGCGTTGACCAGATCCAAAAATAGATGAAGCCTTTGAGAGGCTGAAGAGCCCGACTGGGACAAGGTGTGTGCTGGCCGCCCCCTCGCTGGCCTCCCACAGGCTGCAGCTCCTTGCTCCAGGACCGGCCTCCTCCTGTCCTCTCTCCAGCCCCCAGCGCCCCGGGAACAGGCGACGCGCAGCGCTCACTCACCCTTGTGGCAGTGGGACAGGAAGTAGGCGCGGGCCCTAAGGTTCTCCCTGTCGAAACGGTCTATGGAGATAGTTGGATACTCGGCCATTTGCCCCTCGAAGGAACTCATATCGCCGCCGATCCCAACGTCCCGGACCCCAAAACTGCAGCTGAAGCCCAGGCCAGCCCTGACCACGCCGCCACTTCCGGGAAGCCGCGCACCTCCTCGCCATTGGGCGGCCGAACGCAACCACGTCCAATCAGAGGAGTCCGGAGACCCGAGGCGACGCCAAGGAGCATCCGGTCGGGTCCCAGGCGCAGGCTGCCGGGTTTTAAATCACCCGCGCTACGCAGCATGCGGTGGGCCCTGAGCCCCGCCCAGTGCAAGGCTTATTCCTGCCAAAGAAACACGGGTGTTGCTCTGGTAAGGCGTTGCCCGTGTCTGTGCAGGTGCAGTCGCGGGAAGGGAAATCGAAACTCCCAGCGCAGGTAGCCCCAGCCGACTAGGTGAGTAGGCTGCGGAGCTGCGCTTAGAAATCATTCTTCGTTCCGCTTCCTGCTTGTCTACTGCTGGCCTGAAATCCGAGCTCAGTTCCCCTCTCTCTCTTCTGTTCCCAATTTCTAACCTTGTGGGATAACAGTGAGGATTGTATGAGAAAGTTTGTAACTGACTCATGGTAGATTCAGTAACTATAGATTCCCTCTTCTGTTTTTATAATCTACAAACTGAGGAAGTCATCTCTGTGTGGTCTTGGGGCAAATAAGATCCCAATAATGTGTTCGCTGCTGGCCTCTGCCCTGGTCCCCCACCTTTTTGAGCTATACTTTTAGGAAGTTAGAATGATGTATTTAAAAAAAAAAAAAAAGATGGGAGGAAAGGTCTAAAAATTTTTAACAACCAAAGCAACTTTATGAAAAAGTTTGTTAAAGTACTGTATTAAAATTCACCAAATAATCACCATGACATTTATTGTGCTCCTTCCTATCAAATCTCCTTAGTATAATTAAACACAAACAACCCAGAACACTTTTACTTTATTTTATCTATTTATTGAGTTGGGGTCTAGTTCTATCGTCCAGGCTGGAGTGCAGTGGTGCCATCTCGGCTCACTGCAACCTCTGCCTCCTGGGTTCAGGCGATTCTCCTGCCTCAGCCTCCAGAGTAGCTGGGACTACAGGCATGCGCCACCACGCCTGGCTCATTTTTGTACTTTTAGCAAAGACGGGGTTTCACCATGTTGACCAGGCCGGTCTCGATCTCCTGGCCTCATGCGATCCGCTCACCTCAGCCTCCCAAAGTGCTGGGTTACAGGCATGAGCCACTGTACCCGGCCTTCCGGGCCTCCATAACACTTGAAGTCCCGCTTTGTGCACAGCATGGTGACAAACCTTCGGGTAGCATTGAATCTATCTGGGGACAACATGTTTGCAGAATACGGCAAATAAATGCTTCCACAGAGATGCAAAGTAACATGAGAATAAATCCAGGAACAAAGATTTCTGATCAGGGAAGTCAGGAATCAGAATGCCATTCCAGCCCAGCGCAGTGGCTCATGCCTGTAATCCCAGCACTTTGGAAAGCTGAGGTGGGCAGATCACCAAAGTCAGTAGTTCAAGACCAGCCTGGACAACATGGTGAAACCCCATATCTACTAAAAAGAAAAAAAAATCGGCCAAGCATGGTGGCAGATGTCTGTAATTCCAGCTACTCGGGAGGCCAAGGCAGGATAATCACTTGAACCTGGGAGGCGGAGTTTGCAGTAAGGCTAGATCACGGCAGTGCACTCCAGCCTGGGCAACAGAGACTCTGTCTCAAAAAACAAAACAAAACAAAACAGAATGACATCCCTAGTGAATGTCAGCTTGTTCCTGTAGTCATGATACTCAGAGTTCTATTCAAAAACGGATTCCCATGAAATCTTGAGGAGTGGGAGGAGGGGTGACGTGGAAAGGTATACACAACATAATCACTAATTTAGGTAAAATATCCTGCTAGTATACTACTGGCAACAACTTTGATGGTTTGTCTTAGAACACATGGGAACAACTGCCCTGGCAGGGTTATGGAGACCTAACAACAAATTCTGCTGAGTCTAGTGTCTGAAGAATCTCGTGGTGGAGCTCCAGGAAAGGCAGGTTAAGATAATGCTCGTGATCTTATTTATCTGCTCACTTATTTATCTCCTCCTCTTTCCACAATGGATACAGTACAAACAAAGGGAAATAGAGTCACGACAAAGGGAAAGACAGGATAGAAAATAAGCAAGATAGGTAAGCATAGCCCAGACCACACCTAGCGAATCAGAAACTCTTGGAGAGTGAGGCCTGGCAATTTACAGCTTAACACACCCTCTAGGTGATTCTGGTGGATCCTAAAGTTTGAGAACCACTGAATTCAAGTCTAAAAAAAAAAATCAGGGCCGGCGTGGTGGCTCATGCCTGTAATCCCAACACTTTGGGAGACCAATGCAAGCAGATCACCCGAGGTCAGGAGTTCGAGACCAGCCTGACCAACATGGGAAAACCCCCGTCTCTACTAAAAATAAAAAAATTAGCCAGGCTAATTACAGGTGGCGGGGGGGCTGTAATTCCAGCTACTCAGGAGGCTGAGGCAGGAGAATCGCTTGCACCCAGGAGGCGGAGGTTGCAGTGAGCCAAGATTGCACCATTGCACTCCAGCCTGGACAACAAGAGCGAAACTCCATCTAAAAAAAATTAAAATTAAAAAATAAAAATAAAAAATAAATTTAAAAAACCACAACACTCAGGAAGTCTGGGGCAGGAATTCAGGTAGGAAGCTGCTGCAATACTGCAGGAAATGTGATGGTGAGGCTTAATTCATTCAGCAAATCATTCACTGACCATATACTGTGTATCAGACACTGTTCTAGACACTAAAGATACAGTAGTGAGCAAAGTAGACAAAAAATGTGGCCCATCCTGGTGGCTCCTGCCTGCAATCTCAGCACTTTGGGAGGCCAAGGCAGGCGGATCACTTGAGGCCAGGAGTTCAAGACCAACATGACAAAACCCCATCTCTACTAAAGATGCAAAAAAATGTAGCTGGGTGTGGTGGTGTGCCTACCATAACAGCTACTTGGGAGCTGAGGCACAAAAATCACTTGAACCCGGAGGCAGAGGTTGCAGCGAACCAAGATGGTGCCACTGCACTCCAGCCTGGATGACCAAAGAGACAGGTCTCAAAATAAATAAATAAAAAAGCAGACAAAAATTCCTGTGGACGTGGGAGTGTACATTCTCATGGAAGTATTTACTGTCTACCATTTGTGTAGTTCCAGATGTTATCAGTGTTTTATACTTATTATTTCATCCTCATATCCTACCTGTCCATCAGGCAGGTACACTTTCTGTCCTCATTTGCCAGTTGAGGAAACGGAGGTTAAGTAGCTCGTCCAGGGTCATGTTGCTAGTAAGTAGAGCTCAGATTTAAATCCAAGAAGGCCACCACACGTTTAGACACTGTGTTCTCTGACAACACACTGCTAGCCACCATGCCATGCTGCCTCCACACCATCGGAGGGGCAGTGATGAAATATACTCATTCAAAACATATCCCTTTAGCACCTACTGTGTGCTAGGCACTGTTAGGCCAGTGTGGCTGCAGCAGAATGATCCAGGGCTACATAGGAAGGAGGGAGGTTGTTGGGAGCAAATCTTGCAGAGACTTTGCTCACCCTGTATAGCCTCTGGTTTTCACTCTCCATAAGACAGGAAGCCATTGCAAGGCTGTGAGCAGAGGACTGACATAATTTGACTTAGGTTTGGTTTGTTTTGTTTTGTTTTGTTTTGTTTGAGATGGAGTCTCCCTCTATGCCCAGCCTGGAGTGCAGTGATGCAGTCTCTGCTCACTGCCACCTCCACCTCCTGGGTTCAAGCGATTCTCCTGCCTCGGCCTCCCGAGTCGCTGGGACTACAGGCACGCAACACCACTCCCAGCTAGTTCTTTTGTATTTTTAGTAGAGGCGGGGTCGCACCATATTGGCCAGGCTGGTCTCGAACGCCTGACCTTGTGATCCACCCACCTCAGCCTTCCAAAGTGCTGGGATTACAGGCGTGAGCCACCACGCCCGGCCTTGACTTAGGTTTTAAATGGACTGCATTGACTGTTGTGTTGACAACAGACTATAGAGGGGGCACAGAGAGCTGTTGGGAATGGTTGTAATTACCAGAAAAGAGAAAAATGATGATGTCTTGAGTAGAAGCTATAAAGCCAGCAGGTTGCACTGATGGATATGGAAAGAGAGGGCTCTAGGCCTCATCTACTAAAAGACATGAAGAAGGAGCAGGGTTTTTGTTTTCGTTTTGACAGGGAGGTGTTTGGGGAGGTTGTTTTGGACAACCAAGTGGATGTTGAATATACATTGATATGCAGATCTAAAGTTCAGAGAAAGACCGGGCTGAAGAGATAAATTTGGGAGTTGTAAGTAAGTGTTTGTTTTTAGTTTTACTAAGTATTGCCTTTGTCTTAGTCTCATTTATTTAGAAGTTTACATAATTTAATTTGTCATATGGCTTGTGTTTTTGTTTTTGTTTTGTTTCGGGCAGGTGCCCGAGGCCCTTGTCATCTTCACTGATTCCAGCTCATGGCTTGTATTTAACAACTGGCTCAAAAAAATTCCTAAAAATTTACTTACTGAGTCTCCAGAGCTCTAATGAGCTGGCTCCAGCACACAGCTGCTCCTTTCTTTCATTCAGCAATTTTACAAGTCCTGATGGCTCTACTTTCAAAACATGTATCTTGGCCAGGCGCGGTGGCTCAGGCCTGTAATCCCAGCACTTTGGGAGGCCGAGGCAGGCGGATCAGGAGGTCAAGAGATTGAGACCATCCTGGCTAACACGGTGAAACCCCGTCTCTACTAAAAATACAAAAAATTAGCCCGGCGTGGTGGCGGGCGCCTGTAGTCCCAGCGGGAGGCTAAGGCAGGAGAATGGCGTGAACCCGGGAGGTGGAGCTTGCAGTGAGCCGAGATCGCACCACTGCACTCCAACCTGGGGGACAGAGCGAGACTCCGTCTCAAAACAAAAACAAAAACATGTATCTTGAATCTGATTACTTTTCGCTAAAAATAGTACTGTAATATAGTAATAGGTAATGCTAGAAAAAATAATTAAAGCTATAGATACCATTTATTGTAGGTTTACTGATTGTCAGGCACTATGGCGACTCTCTGGATTGGTTCATTCCCCGCAAATGGATAGGAGATATCTACTATCAGGACCTACAAACGGCAGTAGTCTCCATGCTGTGATTAGCTTTCATAGGGAATTGTATCTGGGATTCAAGGAGCAAAAAGTAACCCATTTCGCCCTCCGTATCTGCTCAGGGGTAACTCCTGGCAACGCTCCTGAGACCTACATTGGCGCAGTAAGGTAGGCCTGCATCCGCTCCAGCCCTCGCGCATGCGCATAAAAGCCTATCCCCCGGGGGCGGGGCCTGAGCCAGCTGGGCGGGGCCTAAAGGAGCCGGAAACTCCTGCAGTTCCACCGCGTTACTAAGAGACGCGAGGGTCACAGAGGCCACAACACTTGGCCTCTCGCTGGCCCTGCCCTAGGATCCCGAATAGAGAACGCGAGCACCGCCACGCCCGCCTGTGAGCTCCCGGGCGCCCCCGGCCTCTCCAGCTCGGGGGAGCGAGGATAACCGGAGAGCCGGACCCAGGGGTGGGTGGATGCGTCGCTGGAGGCGGGGGCCCTGCCCGCCAACCCCTGCGCCCCGGCCGTAGCCCCACCCCGGAAGTCCTTGCTTCGCCTTCTCCGCCCCGCAGTTCTCTAGTGTCTCTTGAGGTTTGCCCGAGTGATCCCGTGGTTTTCATGTCTCTTCCGTGTTTTTCAGGGAAGAGGTTCACTACTTGGCCGTTCCAGAATCTCAGAGTCCGGTTCTCCCGGAAGTTTCCGGGCTGCCCCGGACCCCATTGGCTTTAGGAGCCGCGACTCCGAGGGTTCTGATTTGGACCCTAAATTTTGGAATACTGTGCTTTGTCTATCCTAGCCTTCTTCAGGCAGATTTCACCTACCACACATTGAGTGATTTATGGCAGAAAGGAAGTTGGAGGGATGGGGACTGCAGTTTAGCTGTGGGGGCCGGAAGGGAGCGGCTTTGTGCTGCACATATGCAGGTTGCACTCCCGGAGCAGGGACCACCAGGCGTGCTTTGGGAACCGCTTTTGTCTTTCAAATGAACGCCCAGCGACAGCGGACGGGAGTTCCAGGACCTTAGAGACCGTCTAATGCTTCTTTTTCAGTTAAGGAAACAGGCCGAGGCGTGTTCATGGCCTTGCCTAAGGTTACGTGCTGATTACAGGGCTACTCCTGCTGCCTTTTAGAAACAGAAACCTAACAGGAGAAAAAAAACGGACTGTAAGGGAGGCTGATGCTCTTGAAGTTTTACTACTACTAAAAGTAAACGCACTTCTCAGAGTGGAAGGGAAGTGAAAAAGGAATTTGGGTGGCTGGCTACATCAGAAGCTTCTGTTACAACTTTAGATTGTCAGGGATTTCAGATGGTGGGTTTTTAAAATAACAAGCTCGAGGCCGGGCGTGGTGGCTCACGCCTGTAATCCCAGCACTTTGGGAGGCTGACGCAGGCGGGTCACCTAAGGTCAGGAGTTCGAGACTAGCCTGACCAACATGGAAAAACCCCGTCTCTACTAAAAATACAAAAAAATTAGACGGGCGTGGTGGCGCATACCTGAAATCTCAGCTAGAGGGGAGGCTGAGGCAGGAAAATCGCTTTAACTCGGGAGGCAGAGGTTGCGTTGAGCCAAGATTGCCCCATTGCATTCCAGCCTGGGCAACAAGAGCAAAACTCTGTCTCAAAAAAATAAATAACATAACATGCTCCTCTATTTTTTTTTTTTTTTTTTTGAGACGGAGTCTTGCTCTGTCGCCCGGGCTGGAGTGCAGTGGCTCTATCTCGGCTCACTGCAAGCTCCGCCTCCTGGGTTTACGCCATTCTCCTGCCTCAGCCTCCCGAGTAGCGGGGACTACAGGCGCCCGCCACTGCGCCCGGCTAATTTTTTTGTATTTTTAGTAGAGATGGGGTTTCACCGTGTTAGCCAGGATGGTCTCGATCTCCTGACCTCGTGATCCGCCCGTCTCGGCCTCCCAAAGTGCTGGGATTACAGGCTTGAGCCACCGCGCCCGGCCAACATGCTCCTCTATTGAACCATGGGGTTATGTCCCAATAAACCCATGGTAGGTCGAAAATGCATTTAATGCACCTAGCCAAACTTAAACGTCCTCAGAACACTTACCTTGCCTGCAGTTGGGCAACATTGTCTAACACAAAGGCTATTTTATAATAAAGTGTTGACTATGTCATAGTAACTTACTGAATACTGCATTCTAAATGGAAAACAGAATGGTTGTATGGGTACTCGAATTACACTTTCTACTGAATGCATATTGCTTGTGCACCATGGTAAAGTGGAGATGCGAGTTGAACCTTTCTGTGGGACCATCCATATGCATATAAACTCTGTTTCATGTAATTCAGTTTTACAAACCAGAAACTCAGGCATTGCTGTTTCCTTTTTGTGGAGATACAACTTGGTATTTTAGACATCAAATGTATTTTATTTATTTGAGATGGAGCCTTGCTCTGTAGCCCAGGCTGGAGTGCAGTGGCGTGATCTCGGCTCACTGCAAGCTCCATCTCCCGGGTTCACATCATTCTCCTACCTCAGCCTCCGGAGTAGCTGGGACTACAGGGGACCGCCACCACGCCCCGCTAATTTTTTTTTTTTTTTTTAGTAGAGATGGGGTTTCACCATATTAGCCAGGATGGACTCGATCTCCTGACCTCATGATCCGCCCACCTCGGCCTCCCAAAGTGTTGGGATTACAGGCGTCAGCCACCGTGTCCAGCCCCGAGGCGGGGTTTCACCATGTTGGCCAGGCTGGTCTCGAACTCCTGACCTCAGGTGATCCAGCTGCCTCGGCTTCCCAAAATGCTGGGATTACAGGCGTGAGCCTCCGCGCCTGGCTCAAATGTTTATTTTTATTTAATTTTAAATTATTTTTTTCTTGAGGCAGGGTCTCACTCGTCTCCCAGGCTGAAGTGCAGTGACTCCATCACAGCTGACTGTGGCCTCAACCTTGGGGGCTCAAACAATCCGCCCACCTTAGCGTTCCCAACAGCTGAGACTACAGGCATGGGACACCACACCCAGCTAATTTTATTTTTTGTAGAGACAGGGTCTCACTATGTTGCCCAGGCTGGAATTGTAAGTTGATCTTTCCTAATTTTAGTTTCATTTTGTGTTTTTAATAAAATGAAAGGCCAAAAAAAAAAAAAAAGAATTTCCACCACCACCACTTATATAGCATAGTTACGGTAGTCACTAGAGTTCCTATTATGGTGAAATTTACATTCATATTCTCTTTAAGTATTTTGGGAAAATAAAATTTTGAAATGCTTAATAATAACTGGAAGATGTCTATTTCTACTGAGAAAAGTGGTGATTTTCCCCAAAGTCCAATTGAATACAGCATATTTTCTGCTCATCTATTAAATGTAGCATTTTTATGTATAGTTGCTGTAATTTTATGAGCTGAAAGTGACAAAAGGTGACATAGATGGCATTCAAGAAAATATGTTTTGAATGAATATGAGCAAAAAGTCAAGCCTAAAGCAAAGAGGGCTTGTATAAGACAAAGATTCAGATTGTATCACTGCATGTGCTTCATCTGTAAAAGTCCTGTAAGTAATACAGTCACTAAATTCATATAAAAATATGACTAATTTTGAAAATATGACTTTGTTTTTATTTATTTATTTATTTGTTTTTCAGACAGAGTCTCGCTCTGTCACCCAGGCTGGAGTGCAGTGGCACCATCTTGGCTCACTGCAACCTCCACCTCCTGGGTTCAAGCAGTTTTCTGCCTCAGCCTCCCCAGTAGCTGGTACTACAGGTGCCCGCTACCTACCATGCCCGGCTAATTATTTTTAGTAGACACAGGGTTTCATCATATTGGCCAGGCTGGTCTTGAACTCCTGACCTTGTGATCCACCCACCTCGGCCTCCCAGAGTGCTGGGATTACAGGCATGAGCCAGTCCGTTCCTGTCCTGAAAGTATTTTAATACAGTGAGTTCACTAACCTTTTTTTTTTTTTTATGACAGAGTTTCACTTTTGTTGCCCAGGCTGGAGTGCAATGGCACGATCTGGGCTCTCTGCAACCTCTGCCTCCCAGGTTCAAGCAATTCTCCTACCTCAGCCTCCTGATTAGCTGGGATTACAGGCATGCGCTACCACACCCAGCTAATTTTGTATTTTTCGTAGAGATGGGGTTTCTCCATGTTGGTCGAGGTGGTCTCGAACTTCCGACCTCAGGTGATGCACCCGCCTCAGCCTCCCAAAGCGCTAGGATTACAGGGGTGAGCCACCACACCTGGCCTAACTTTTTTCTTTAATATTTCTTAGAACCTTTTTCCTGTATAACATATCTATATTGCTGTGTAATATATCATATTATATATATGAATGGATTCTTGGGCTGTATCACATGTCCAACTCACCTCTTTGTCATAGCTGGTATATTGCTAGTATATTGTGCAACAGTGGAGTAGCAAACTTCCCACTAGAATGAATGGCATTAAAGGACAAAGGTTTCACTGAAGCATAGCTTATTTATTGTTTTGCCAGGTGTTCCAAATTTTACATAAATTCGTATAATACTATAAAACTGGACCGCGTGCAGTGGCTTACGCCTGTAATCACCCACTGTGGGAGGCCGAGGTACACGAATCACTTGAAGCCAGGAGTTCGAGACCAGCCTGCAAAACATGGTGAAACACATCTCTACTAAAAATATAAAAATGTGGCTGGGCGTGATGGCTCATGCCTGTAATCCCAGCACTTTGGGAGGCCAAGGTGGGTGGATCACGAAATCAGGAGATCAAGACCATCCTGGTTAACACGGTGAAACCCCATCTCTACTAAAAATACAAAAAATTAGCCAGGCATGGTAGTGGGCACCTGTAGTTCCAGCTACTCGGGAGGCTGAGGCAGGAGAATGGTGTGAACCCGGGAGGTGGAGCTTGCAGTGAGCCGAAATCACACCACTGCACTCCAGCCTGGGCAACAGAGCGAGATAACGTCTCAAAAGAAAAAAAGAAAAAGAAAAAAGAAAAAAATATATATATATAAAAATTAGCTGGGTGGGGTGGTACGCATCTGTAGTCCCAGCTACTCAGGAGGCTGAGGCAGGAGAATCGCTTAAACTCAGGAGGCCACAGTGAGCCAAGATGACACCACTCTACTCCAGCCTGGGCAATGCAGTGAGACTCCATTTCAAAAAAAAAAAAAAAGAATTGCCTTAAAATGTAACATGGGTCTGAGCCTAAGTCAATAACTAAAGATCAAAAGTTTTTAAGAAGTCAACATACTGACAAAACTCTGATTTTCTTTGATCTGATCAATGTACACGTTGGTATGCACACTGGAAAAAATGCAAACAGCAATACTAATGCTACTGAAATAATTTCTTTTATCAGGGTAAGAACTGTGTGACTCATGCCTTCATTTAGATTCATTTAAATCTGGAGCTAAGTTCAAACAACTCTGGGAATTATGATTTCAGAATGCAGTGGGCCCAGCGCGGTGGCTCATGCCTGTAATCCCAGCATTTTGGGAGGCCGAGGTGGGTGGATCACGAGGTCAAGAGATCGAGACCATCCTGGCCAAAAGGGTGAAACCTCATCTACTAAAAATATAAAAATTAGCTGGGCGTGGTGGTGCCTGCCTGTAGTCCCAGCTACTCAGGAGGCTAAGGCAGGAGAATCAGTTGAACCTGGGAGGCAAAGGATGCAGTGAACAGAGTTCACGCCACTGCACTATAGCCTGGTGACAGAGCGAGACTATGTCTCAAAAAAAAAAAAAAAAATACAACGTAAACACTATAATCTTTAGAATGTTAAGCAATTCAACACAAATCTAAATACGAGGAGCATTAGACCAACTTTCTTATTTTTCATAGAAAAGAGTCCATTGGTACTTGTGACTTAGCCTCCTAACAGTCTTCATTATCTTTTTTTACTAACCACTAAGGGAACATTTAGGCTACATCTTTCATACTGAAGAAATATATGTCTGAAATTCAGCAAGTCTGTCCATTTTATTTCCATTTCCTGTTTTTCACCTATTAAATCCAAGTAAAGCTAAATTTATGTCCTGTAAAAACATTTATTATAAGATCTTTTTAAATAAAACTTTTAAGTCTATGTTAATTCATCATATATTTAGCATAATTTTTACCCAGTATGAAGGATGGATATTTCTAACTGATGTGATGCTTATTTTGACTTTTCCTTTATATATATATATATGTGCTTTTTTTTTTTTTGAGCCAGAGTCTCAGTCTGTTACCCAGGCTGGAGTGCAATGCAGCAGTATTGGCTCCCTGCAACCTCCACCTCCTGGGTTTCAAGCAATTCTCAAACCTTAGCCTCCCAAGTAGCAAGGATTGCAGGCAGCTTCCACCACACCCAGTTAATTTTTTTTTTTCTTTTTTGAGAAGGAGTTTTGCTCATGTTGCCCAGGCTGGAGTGCAATGGTATGATCTCAGCTCACTGCAACCTCCACCTCCCAGGTTCAAGCGATTCTCCTGACTCAGCCTCCCAAGTAGCTGAGATTACAGGCATGTGCCACCACGCCTGGCTAATTTTGCATTTTTAGTAGAGACGGGGTTTCACCATGTTGGCCAGGCTGGTCTTGAACTCCTCACCTCAGGTCTCCTGACCTCAGTCTCCCAAAGTGCTAGGATTACAGGCCTGAGCCACCATGTCCAGCCTTTCCTTGTTATACTTTAATGTATTTCTCGACCTTTTTAACATAATAAGCATTTGTCATTGTGACTGAAAAAAATTCAAAAAATATTAATTTATTTACAGGATCTGACTTTAATGTGTTTCAGCCAATAGAAATATATTTTAGTAGAAGAATGGATTCAAGGAATCATAGTGAAAATTCTGGAGACTTTATTTCAGTTAAATGACTGATATATTTTGTTAATAAAATAAGTAGCTGAGAAAAGTTCAAGATTATGCCTTTGAAAAACTTGCTATGGAAATTTGGTGAATAGATGATTACATGAACTAAAATCATATATCTGACTTTCCAAGACTATTAGTGACCTCCTACACTGCTTTTAAATCTGTGATCTCAGTACCACGACAGCCACACGGTGTGCATGGAATCTGTGTTAGTCCATCTTCTCACATTGGTTCATCAAAAAATCAGGCAGGGCTCGGTGGCTCACGCCTATAATCCGAGCACTTTGGGAGGCCGAGGCGGAGCAGGTCACAAGGTCAGGAGATGGAGACCAACCTGGCTAACACGGTGAAACCCCGTCTTTACTAAAAATACAAAAAATTACCTGGGCACGGTGGCGGATGCCTGTAGTCCTAGCTACTTGGGAGGCTGAGGCAGGAGAATGGTGTGAACCCGGGAGGCGGAGCTTGCAGTGAGCCGAGATCAGGCCACTGCACTCCAGCCTGGGCGACAGAGCAAGACTCCGTCTCAAAAAAAAAAAAAAAAAAAAAAGAATAAACCATTCCCTCCCCGAAACAAGAAAGGGAAGAGAGTGAGAAGATGGATCTTACATTCCCGTATTAAGAGAGAGAGATGCAGTTTTGAACATAGGTAAATGGAATGGTGGTGGATATTTTGACAATCTATTGAGCATGTTTTCAGAAATGTGCAAACTATTACCTGGAACTCCAGTATTTGTATACAGCTTTTAAAACATCACTCCGTAACTCCAACTCTGACTGTGATTTTATTGATAAAGAAATAAATAGACTTTTATGTATCTTTCAGGTACTTGGGGTTTTTTGTTTGTTTGTTACAGTTTTATCCCCACAAAATAGAACATGAATCCTTCTTAATCTTGGAATTGTGTGTTTAAAAACTAATATATTTAATGGGATTCTCAACTCTAAGTATAATTTTTAAGTGGTAGTTTTGTTTATTCTTAAAGGGAATTTCAAAATTGTCATTATTACATTATCTATTAATGTTGTTTTAACATCTTTCAGATATTCTTGGTAATAAGGCCTCTGTAACCATGGCTAGTTCTGACGTAAAACCAAAATCAATAAGTCGTGCCAAAAAATGGTCAGAAGAGATAGAAAATCTGTACAGATTTCAACAAGCGGGATATCGGGATGAAACCGAATATAAACAAGTGAAACAAGTTTCTGTGGTAAGATTTATGCCTCTACAAACCTCAACTAGAAGTGCGTTTCTCAGATGCTGAAAAGTATTTTATGAACAACCAGAGAATAACTGAAGGGAATTCTACTCCAACTCTCTCATTTTATTTATTTTTATTTTATTTTATTTTATTCTATTTTTTGAGACAGAGTCTCATTCTGTCACCCAGGCTGGAGTGCAGTGACGCAATCTCGGCTGACTCCACCTCTCAGGTTCAAGGGATTCTCCTGCCTCAGCCTCCCAAGTAGCTGGGATCACAGGTGTGCACCATCACGCCTGGCTAATTTTTGTATTTTTGTAGAGACAGGATTTTGCCATGTTGGCCAGGCTAGTCTTGAACTCCTGACTTCAAGTGATCCACGCGCTTCAGCCTCCCAGAGTGCTGGGATTACAGGCAATAGCCATGACACCCAGCCAGACTTTCTCATCTTATTAAGGGGGAGAGGCCCAGAAGAATGATTTGCAGGCAGAGTGAGGGAAGAGGTGGTCATTCAGCTGGGCACATTCAGAATTTTCTATGTTTTATCGAGCAACTGTGCTCTGCTAAATGAATCTTCTATGGTAGACCACAAAAAAAGAATCTTTTTTCCTCACTCAGGTGATTTTATTATCAGATAATCAGTTTGTGGGATAACTATTATTTCCCTCCTTTTATATTTTATTTTAACCATGAATTAGAAAGAGATTAAAATTGTTTTTTTGTTTGTTTGTGGCGATTATACCTTATAAACAAAAGTGTTGAAACAACTGGTGACTTTGGTAGTATATCCCAGACTTTTCTGAGAGAGTAGAGATCTAGCTTTCCTTTACGAAGGCTAGACCAAAGTCTAGGTTTGGCTCCCGTTTATACTGTGTTGGTTCTTCTTATTTATTCTGTTGACTACTAAGACACTTTTTTTTTTTCTCCCAGGCTGGAGTGCACTGGCGCAATCTCGGCTCACTGCAACCTCCGCCTCCCGGGTTCAAGTGACTCTTAAGAGACATGTTGTTTACAAATTCAGTTCACCCCTGAACACCACAGGGACTAGGGGGTTCAGTGCTTCATGCTGTCAAAAATGTGTGTATAAGTTTTGACTCCCCAAAACAACTACTAGTAACCTAGTGTTAACAGAAGGACTTGCCCATATGGTAAACAATTGATCAACCCGGAAATATGCTAATATCTTAATATATTTTATGCATTAATGACAAACCTTTTTCTTAATTTTTTTTAATATTTCTAGTCTGTGTGGTTTGCAAAATTTTTCTAATCGTTGCAAATCTCAAAAAAAATTTCAACGTATTTTTTGAAAAAATCCATGTATAAATGGACTCCCCAAGTTCAAACTTGCATTGGTCAAGGGTCAACTGTATTGTAAAATATGATATAGTATTAATAACTATATTTTAATTTTTAGATTTGGGATTATAACAGTGTTTATTAACTTAGTTTATTTTTCATTATTTTTTACTAACTCATTTTTCAGAGACTAATGTGTAGGTTTTGCAAATCACTATAAGCTCTTGTTTCTTTTTCTTTTATTCTATTCTTTGACCTGTACTTAAAAATTCCTTTAAAAGTACATAGGAAGCCGGGAACGGTGGCTCACACCTGAAATCCCAGCACTTTGGGAGGCTGAGGTAGGCAGATCACTTGAGGTCAGGAGTTCGAGACCAGCCTGGTCAACATGGTAAAACCCCATCTCTACTAAAAATGCAAACATTAGCTGGGCATGGTGGCAGGCACCTGTAGTCCCAGCTACTCAGGAGGCTGAGGCAGGAGAATCACTTCAGCCTGGGAGGTGGAGGTTGCAGTGAGCCAAGATCACACCATTGCACTCTAGCCTGGGCAACAAAGCGAGATTCCATATCAAATTAATTAATTAATTAATTAAATTAAAAATTAAAAAGTACGTAGGAAAAATAATGGAGGCAATACAGAATTAAAATGTTATTGCCTCTTTAATAGGCATTAATTTAGCAGACATTATTGGGGTTAACAATAAAATTCAAAATACTGATCAAGTGAAGATTGATTACTGTGCCTTCCATATATCTGTCTTCTCAACCATTATACTCTATCCCCATTGCCAATGATAATTTTCATTACTGTATCATCTAAGGCCTTTAAATAGATAAAACAGAAGCATTATCATTGTTATGCTGTTTAAAATAAGCTTTGGGCCGGGCATGGTGGCTCACACCTGTAATCCCAGCACTTTGGGAGGCCGAGGCAGGTGGATCATCTGGGGTTGGGAGTTTTAGACCAACCTGACCAACATGGAGAAACCCTCTCTCTACTAAAAATACAAAATTAGCGAGGCGTGGTGGTGCATGCCTGTAATCCTAGCTACTTGGGAGGCTGAGGCAGGAGAATTGCTTGAAACCAGGAGGTGGAGGTTGTAGTGAGCTGAGATCACACCATTGCACTCCAGCCTGGGCAACAAGAGTGAAACTCCGTCTCAATAAATAAATAAATAAATAAATAAGCTTCATACCCTGCCTTAAGATTGGGATGCCCCTAAAGATATACAGGCCTCAGACTCATAGGTGGCCAGGTTTGGTAGCTTACACCTCTGAGCCCAGTGCTTTGGGAGGCTGAGGCGGAAGGACTGCTTGAGGCCAGGATTTCGAGACCAACCTGGGCAACACAGACTCCATCTCTACAAAAAATTTTTTTAATTAGCCAGGCATGGTGGAGTGTCTCTGTAGTCCCAGCTACTGGGAGTCTCAGGCAGGAGGACTGCTTGAGTGCAGGAGATGGAGGCTGCAGTGAGCTGTGATCACATCACTGCACACCAGCCCACCAGCCTGGGTGAGAGAGCAGGACCCTGTCTCAAAAAAAGAAAGAAAGAAAGAAAGTAAAGAAAATTGTCACAAGAATTAAATGTAATCACATGTTTGAAGTGCCTGACATTATAGTGCTCATAATTTGTTGGGCCGGGCACAGTGGCTCACGCCTGTAATCCCAGCACTTTGGGAGGCAGAGGTGGGCAGATCACCTGCAGTCAGGAGTTAGAGACCAGCCTGGCCAACATGATGAAACCCTGTCTCTACTAAAAAATACAAAAAATTAGGGGGGCATAGTGGTGCACACCTGTAAATCCCAGCTACTAGGAAGGCTGAGACAGGAGAATCACTTGAACCTGGGAGGCGGAGGTTGCAGTAAGCTGAGATCATGCCACTGCACTCCAGCCTGGGCGACAGAGTGAGACTCCCCCACAAAAAAATTGTTGACTGAAGGAACAAGTGTTAGTAAATTATAACTTTTACTAATCTCATCATCTTAGAGTCTAAAATAAGTAACAAGAACAATAAAACCTTACACAAATCAAAGTATATGTGCCTTAACAAAAAGAAGCACAGGGGTTTAGAGGAAAACAAAATCACTTCCTTCCAGGGACAATCCTCAGAGAGGGCTTCATGTCCCCACAGACATTTGCAGTGGGTCTTTAGGGATCGATAGGATGGTGGCTGAAGGCTTGCTTTGGGTGGGATGTTTCTCCTAGTGTGCAGTGGTTTGAGGGTTTGAGAGAAGTTTTTTGTTACCTGGTGGTAAAGTGCTTGCTGACCTTCTCTCCTGAGGAGAAAGTCCTTGAACTTGAGGATCTCATTCCATTTCACCACAGGCAAGAAGGTTTCCCAGATCAAATGAAAATGATCAAGTTGAAAGTCAAGAAGAAAAAAAAGTTCAGAGATGCCAAGGGGCATCAAAAGGAAAAATGTCTAGAAGTCAACAAGCATAGGACCAACCTTGCTGTCCTAAGGATTATCTCATATAAAGTAGCTTAGCTCCAGATGTTCAGAAGAGGCAGTGGTTGTACTGTTTTCTCACTGGATCAGACGGTGTTCAGAGAATCTGCTCCTGGCACCGGGGGGAAGAGGGCTGTAATGGAGTCTTGAGAACACCTCCTTTCCCTGCCAAAGGTATTGGAAGCCACACAGGCAGGCCTGGCCTCAGTGGTGAAAAGGACTGCTGGTGTTCTGTAATGTATGTCAGAGGGCCTGCCAAGGCTTCTCAGATACGCTGTTACCTATTCTCGCTAATTCATAAGTAAATGAGATGACACAAAACATGAAGATGTGTTATTAGAAAATAAAAGACTTGTGGACACAGATGGTATATTCATCTCCTCTTCCTACTGAAAGCTGAGATTTATTCATGGGGAACAGAAAAGGTGCAGGGCTGCCTGTATAGACGGTGTCGAAGAGCGGGATTTGGAGTGAAGGTGCAGGGCTGCGTGTATAGACGGTGTTGAAGAGCGGGATTTGGAGTGAAGGTGCAGGGCTGCCTGTATAGACGGTGTTGAAGAGCGGGATTTGGAGTGAAGGTGCAGGGCTGCCTGTATAGACGGTGTTGAAGAGGGGGATTTGGAGTGAAGGTGCAGGGCTGCCTGTATAGACTGTGTTGAAGAGCGGGATTTGGAGTGAAGGTGCAGGGCTGCCTGTATAGACGGTGTTGAAGAGCGGGATTTGGTTTTCTACAACCCAGATAATGAGGTTTTGGTGATGATCAAGTGCATCTCATGAAATCTGAAAGGAACATATGTGACAGTAGCAAAATACATTAACCTGCCCAGGAAATGATGACATTGAAGAGGAAGTGGGGAGACAGATCTCCAAATTAGATCAAGCCAAATGATAGAGTACGCAAACCAATATGGTATACAAGAAGGAATGGTAGGAGATGGCTGGGGACAGTGGCTCACGCCTGTAATCCCAACACTTTGGAAAGCTGAGACAGGAGGATCACTTGAGCCCAGGAGTTTGAGACCAACCTGGGCAACATATAATAATAATAATAATAATAATAATAATAATAGTAAAGAATGGTAGGAGAAATAAAAAAAGATTTTTGACACTTTGGGAGGCCAAGGTGGGAGGATTGCTTGAGGCTAGGAGTTTGAGACCAGCCTGGGCAACATAGTGACACCCTGTCTCTACAAAAAAAAAATAGAAAACTTATCTGGGCATAATAGTGCAAAGCTGTAGTTCTAACTACTCAGGAGGCAGAGGCTGGAGGATCCCCTGAGCCCAGGAGGTTGAGGCTGTAGTTAGCTATGATTGCACCACTGCACTCCAGCCTGGGAGACAAGAGTGGGACCCTGTTTCCAAAAAAAAAAAAACATGGATTTCAAGGTGAACTTGAAATTGGGGCAGAAGGAAATGCATATACAACTTTGGATAGTTCTTGACTTGCTTGCTTTATTCACTGTGTAGTCATCAACAATCAGCAGGCAGTGCTTTCAAAATGGAGCCTGGGCTTACCCCTAATTTCTTCCTGTGGTATTAATTTTAGAAGTTAGAATGTTTGAAATCTTTTGTAAACATAAGATAAATGAACTTTCAGTTACTTTGAATGTTTTCTCTTGGCCACAGTATTGAAATTTAAATCTATAAATTGAAGCTGGGTGCAGTGGCTCAGGCCTGTAATTCCAGCACTTGGGAGGCCGAGCTTGGAGGATCACTTGACTCCAGCAGTTCAAGGCCAGCCTGGGCAATGTAGCAAGACTCTGTCTCCAAAATAAAGTAAAATGAAATAAACCTAGAAATTGGGCTCTAGAGAAAAGCACTGGATTAGTCATCTTTTTTTGTTGTTGTTTTTTGAGACAGGGTCGCCCAGGCTGGAGTGCAGTGGCACCATCTAGGGTCACTGCAACCTCTGCCTCCAGAGTCCAAACGATTCTCCTGCCTCAGCCCCCTGAGTAGCTGGGATTGTAGGCACCTACCACCACACCTGGCTAATTTTTGTATTTTTAGTAGAGACAGGGTTTCACCATGTTGGCCAGATTGGTCTTGAACTCCTGACCTCAATTGATCCGCCTGCCTCAGCCTCCCAAAGTGCTGGGATTACAGGCATGAGCTACTGCACTGGGCCTGAATTAGTTATTTTACAGCATAAGGCTGCAATTAAGATGTCTTGTGGGTATAATACTTTAAAAGCTGAAGCATTTTAAAATCTAATCTTATACTTTGTTGGTGTAAGTCATACTTTTTAACTATTTGACAGTAAAATATGAGATAAAAATCAGCCCTGCACTGTAACATTTGTACTCTGGTTCTTGGTGTGCAGGTAGATCGTTGGCCAGAGACAGGATATGTGAAGAAACTTCAGAGAAGGGACAATACGTTCTATTACTACAACAAACAGAGGGAATGTGATGACAAGGAAGTCCACAAAGTGAAAATTTATGCTTACTAGCCTGTCTTCTTTGTATTACTCGTCAATTATACTTTAAGAATTCATCATTTCCTTCTATATCGTGAAAATGTTTGTCATTTTACGAAATAATTCAAAATGCAATCTTCAGTTTATTATTTTGTGAAACACAAAAGCCATGAGAATTAGTATCTGTTAACCACCTTGTCCTGTTCTAAGAACTGGCTGCAAATGCATTAAAGTTGTACTTTCTTGGTCCTGCTCTTTTTGTCCATTTTGTTTTGTTTTGAGACAGAGTCTCGCTCTGTTGCCCAGGCTGGAGTGCAGGGGTGCAATCTCGGTTAACTGCAACCTTTGCCTCCCGGGTTCAAGCGCATGAGGAAAAAAAAAAAAAACAAACAATAAAACAAATTCCTGCTAGTGCTGCTGGTGGGACAAATACCTGCTAGTACTGCTTGGTTCACATGCTTGGACATTAAAGATGCATTCTTCTGCATCAGATTAGCCCCTGTAAGCCGAGACATTTGCCTTTGAGTGAGGCCCATCTCAGTATACCTGGACTAAGACTTCCCTAAGGATTTAAAAATTCCCCAACTATCTTTGAAGATGCACTAGCCTCAGACTTAAAGGCTTTCCCGCCACCTAGTGACTGATGTGTCTTAATGCAATTCGTAGATAATTCATTGCTATCCACACCCATCAGAAAAGAATGTATCCAAGGAATGAAGAGCCTCCTTTGAGGGCTCTGGAAAGCTGGCTATAGAGTATCTAAGGAAAAGGCACAGATCTGTAGCCAAGGCGTCTGGTATCTTGGCTTTTACATCTCCCAAGGCCGCATGAGCTTAGGCAGGAGGAAAAGAGACTGTCTGTAGCATTCCTCTGCCAGACACTGTGGCAAGTCCAGGAATTCCTATGGTCTGCTGGTTTCTGCCGCATCTGGATCCCCAAGTACTGGCTCCTAGCAAAACCTTTATATGTGGTGACGAAAGCAGGGGAAAAGGAGCTCCTCCTCTGGGAAAAAGAACAGGATATGGCTTTCAAGGAAAGCAAGAAGGCCTTAATCCAGGCGCCAGCACTAGGGCTGCCAGACATGACAAAGCCCTTTGACCTGTACGTTCATGAAAGAAAGAGGATGGCCACAGGAGTCTTGGTGCAAATGCTAGTGTCATGGTAGCGACCTGTAACATATCTGTCCCAACAACTGGACTTGGTGGCCGCAGGATGGCTGCCCTGTTTCAAGGCGTTGGCTGCCACTGCTCTGTTAGCTGAGAATGCTAACAAGCTCACTTTTGGACAGAAGTTAATAATTCAGGTGCCCCATACAGTTGTCACCTTGATGGATCAGAGAGAACAGCATTGGCTCTCTAACCCTAGAATGCTGAGATACCAAGGGCTCCTATGTGAAAATCCACACATCACCTTAGAGACTGCCAACACCCTAAATCCGGCCACACTGCTGCCGATAGACTATGCAGAGCACGGGAAGCCCCTGTTGAGTGCCCCACGGTATCATTGTCATGTAGAAACAGTAGATGAAGTACTTTCAAGCTGGCAAGACCTAAAAGAGCAGCCCCTAAAGGACCCGGACATAGAGTATTTCACTGATGGAAGTAGCTTCATATCCTAAGGTATCAGAAAGGCCGGATATGCAGCAGTCACGTTAAGCTCAGTGGCCAAGGCCCGCCCCCTACCAGTAGGAACCTCAGCGCAGAAGGCAGAACTAACAACTCTCACAACAGTGCAACTTCTAGCAAAAGGAAAGTCAGTGAATATCTATACTGACAAAGGATATGCTTTTGCCACCTTGCATGCTCATGAAGCCATTTGCAAAGAAAGGACTGTTAACTACTGAAGAAAAAGAAATAAAGAACAAAAAGGAAATAGAGCTGCTCCTAGAGGCTGTATAGGCTCCAAAGGAAGCAGCAATCATCCACTGTAAGGGACATCAAACGGGAGAAAGTGATGAGGCTACAGGAAACAGAAAAGCAGACAAGGAAGCAAAAAGGGCTGCAAGGACACAAATAACAAAGAAGAGATTTACGCTCTGCCCTTATCAGAGCCTCTCCTTGCAGAGACTCCTAACTACTCATCCAATGAGAAAGCGTGGTTCACGCAGGGAAACAGGAGTCATCAAAAAGGAGGCTGGTGGAAGTTTTCAGATAGGAGGCTTGCCATTCCAAAAGCCATTGCCCCCGATTTATAAAGCAGTTTCACCAAGGAACACACATGGGGAAGACAACGTTAGAAATTCTCGTAGGGCGGTATTTCTGTCTGCCACGCCTAAGTGCCTCGAGCCGGCTGCGAGCAGTGTGTTACTTATACCCAGAATAACCTAAGGCAAGGGCCTACTTGGGTCCCCAGGAATTCAGGAAACAGGAGCAGTGCCATGTGAAAACCTATTTGTAGACTTGACCGAATTGCCTCAGGCTGGAGGCTATGGGTACATGTTAGTGTTTGTCTGCATCTTTTCAGGGTAGGTGGAGGCATTCCCCACCAGGACAGAAAAGGCACGAGAAGTAACCAGGATATTATTTAAAAACATTATTCCTAGATTTTGACTGCCTCTAACTTTAGACTTGAACAAAGGACCAGCTTTTGTGGCAGAAGTAATACAGCAACTAACACATATGTTAAAGATTAAATAGAAACTGCATACAGTCTATCACCCACAAAGTTCTGGAAAAGTGGAAAAGACGTATTGGACACTGAAACAACTGTTGAAGAAGTTTTGCCAAGAGACTCATTTATGGTAGCATCAGGTATTGTCCATGGTCCTTCTCCAAGTCAGGTGTACCCCTACTAAATTAACCAGGTATTCACCCTATGAAATAGTATATGGCCGACCACCGCCACTTTTATCTTAGGTAAAAGGAAATTTAAAGGAAATTGGAGAATTGATCCTAAACACAAATGCAAGCATTAGGTGAGGTAATGCAAGAAGTACAAAGGTGGGTAAAAGAAAAAATACCTATTAGCCTTACAGATACAATGCATCCCTTTCAACCTAGGGACTCCGTATAAGTTAAATGCTGGAATCCTACCGCCCTCAGGCCCTTATGAAATGGCACCCATATTGTGATCAATTCTTCTCCTACAGCTGTTAAAGTTGCAGGTATTATTACACCTTGGATCCGTCACAGCTGCCTGAAACCTGTAGCCTCAGTCCAAAACAGATGGACAAGTCAGCAAGATGCAGAAAATCCAACTTGACTGATCTTGCAGAAAGACCAAGGTGCGTCAGAAAAGGATGACTGCCCTGCTCCGACCATGCGGGAGGCTGCTCGGTCCACACATGGCTGAAGTTTGAGGAAACACCAAGCCGTGCCCTAGTCACACAACCAGAAGCTGACTAGTCTATGCATGGCCGAAGCCTGAGGAAGCTGGTGCCAGATAAGTACATGTGGATAGAATTTGCCAGTGTAGTTATTCTTTTGCTTGTAATAATTGTCTTACTGTCATGTTACCTTTGCAATTGCTGTCAAACCTGCTGCCCAAGAGGATGCCTGTGCATAGTCTAAACCTGATTGTACTAGCAGTAAAAATGCTAACAGCTATCCAAGGAAACCAAGATAGTTGCCATCACTGCATGATAGAAGCTTAGTCTAGGGAAAATATAACTAAGACTCTCTTATATCAACTTATTATGAGTATACAGAAGCTCCCCTGAGGACATGTGTTTATAATCAAACCAGCTTTCTCTGTCTGTGACCCAGGAAATAGGCAACCTCAAGCCTGTTATGATCCAGGCCTCCTACCCTATAACTTCTGGTATGAAATTCAAATAAGGAAACCTTTGTAACCCTCATATGCCAATCCTAAAGACGTTAGAACTAGGAAACTCACAAGCAAAACACAGGTATTCCCTTATTCACATAAAGGACCTGTTTCTATATATTTTGATGCCTGTCAGGCTGCACACCTCAACAACCTGAACAATCTAGGAGAAGTCTGCAAGAACTTAAGACACAAAAGAGTCAGCAGTAAGGCTGCTAAGATCATAATAGGAGAACTAGAAAAAGAATGTCCTGATTGTGACATTCCATAGACCACACATGAGTTCCACCAACACCTATATAGAAGGAAAGTGGCTCTGCTTGCCAGTTAGGAAGCAAAACTTGGTTGTGCGATTAAAACATGCAACCCCCCCTTAATCTGACCATGTTAAAGTCAAACATGACTTTTTGGACTAAAGGACATCAAGGAAGGCTAAGCTTTAATTGAGAAAGAGCAGACCTAGATGTTCATTGATCATTATTAAAAAGACTTAACAAGCTAAAATTCAAGTCAGTCCAATGTCACAGTTCAGATTTTTCAAGTCCCTCAATAAACATTTTAACCCCAAGGAGCCAAAAGTTCAAATTCCACCAATGTCACTGAGGCCCTATTCGCTCAACTAGCTAAAAGTATTGCTACTAATTTTGAAGTCACTTCATTTTATGTATGTGGAGGTACCAGTATAGGTGACCAATAGCCCTGGGTGGCTAGAAAACTAATACCACGAGATAATTTTATCATACCAGAATTTGTTACAAAGTTCAATGCAAACCCTAGTGTCTGGCTATTAAAAACCCCTGTCATTGGAAGATACTGCAAAGCACTATGGGGAAAAGACTTTCAGACTCCAGTAAGAGATACAACCTATCTAGGTCAACAATATTTTCAAGAGTCTAAGAACAAGACACAGTGGAGAAGCTTCATAGACAATTCCTCTGTGCCAGATTTTAACCCTCTCTCTCAGTTTCCAGCGCTAGATCAATGGTGGTATCAACTAGACGCTCCAAATGTTTGGAGAGCACCAGCAAGGTTATACTGAATCTGTAGGACAAAATCCTGTCAACTATTGCCAGAGACGTGGACCGGAGCCTGTGTGTTAGGAACAATAAGACGGTCCTTCTTCTTGCTCCCACTGAAACGAGGAAGATTTAAGTTACCAGTTCTATAATGAAACAAGAAAAAGGACCAGAAGAAACATCTTTACTCAGATAAGTACTGTAAAACAGATAAACACAAACATAAAGAAGGACATTAAAAGAGATAACTGGAAATATAATGAATGGCCTCCTAAAAGAATTATCAAATACTATAGGCCCGCTATATGAGCCCAAGATGGGTCATAAGGATACTACACCCCCAATTTTTTTTTTTGGGGGGGGGCTGAGTCTCACTGTCGCCCAGGCTGGAGTGCAGTGGTGCCATCTTGGCTCACTGCAAGCTCGGCCTCCCAGGTTCACATCATTCTCCTGCTTCAGCCTCCCAAGTAGCT